TTATATATACGCGGAACAATCTATAGTGCATGCCATATCTTTCTGAATTAAAGGCATTGCCTCACACGTTAGATTTTCTTTTTAGAAGCTTCATTTTATGAGCCAATTTTATCAGTGCAAAGGTACGTCTACTGTAAAGCATCTAGTGAATGTGTGCGCTTTGTTCAACTACAGCACAGTACTGTACTGGCTGCATGCCATGGTGCTGTTGTGTTACCCTTGGGTGCATGGAGCTGTTTGGGAAAATGTCCAAGGTTCTTCCAGGGCGATCGAGAAGGCTGATAGCACTCGGCAATCGCCTTAGCTGTACGCAAGGGGGGTGGTAACTGATTTAGAGCCACTGCACGTGGTAAAGCCATTGCAGCACATAGATGAGTAACTTTAAGTTGTGCGTACACGCTAACGTGGAATTGCATTACCAATATTTATCACATATGGCAGGATACACATTTGGGCCAGAAACTGGACAAAATACTTTTAATATGTATGGTGTACAGTGCGAAATCACACACAGCATGCAGCCGTCTGAGTAACTCTTTAATGTGGACTAAATAATACTTAAATGTGAATTATCCTGGGTGAATGTGCACGATTGGTATCATTGCAAACTGTGATATGTGATGGATGTGTAAATTATAAGGAGACTTGGAGTGGGTTTTTTATACGATATGGACAGAATGAGTGATTTATTATTATTTAATGTCTAGAATATGGCAGATTGCAATATTCTGCGCTATATATATCCACATCACTGGGTGTAAAATGCACAATGAAAAATGGCAGCTGCTGATTCCATTTATGTTATATCCCTCCAAGGCCTGCAACTGGTGAGACCTTGCAGAGTTATTGTTGTTTTAATCGGACTGAAAAAGGGTGGGTGCATTTTATATCTCATACCAACTATATACAGGTACACTGTACTATAAGGAGCCTCAGGCCACTGAACTGACTGAGAGTATTGTACGTGCATTACAAATATGCAACAGCACTCATCCATATTAGTTTGAACAGTTTTCCAAACCAAACGCAACTGATTAAGGATTGTTTTAAACAACACCTGGGATTTCTAAAGACAGACCTGAAAACCCGGGCCTGGATTTAGGTTAATGTGGGCCCTAAGCCAATCAAATTATTGTGTCTCCTACGAACCACTGCCTCCTGCTGTCACACGGGCCTTTGTTAACCTCACAGGCCAGAGGCTGCTGAGTATAGTAATTAGGCCCTGACGTGCAGTGATGTAGGAATAAAGCTACAGTATTCTGAGTTGCTTATAATTGTGTCATGCACTACAACACTGCATTGTAAACGCGATGGCTGCATATCTTACGTTGTTAAAGTATTTGTATTGAGATTGGTGAGAGACATGTAGAGGCTTTGAATTTAGATGTCGTTTTCTCTGTACTATGTATTTACCCAGGAAACCCACACTGAGTACAAACACTGTTTTATGAAGGTATACAAGCGTTTAACATGCAGAGTATTATTATTGTTGTTTCAGCTCACCGATAAGTTGAAGGATAATTATCACAACCAAATTTGCCAATTACGGTAGATTTCTAAATTTGCAGGTTCAAATCTCAGTCAAGTATGATAAAGTTCCATTGCTCAGTGATGTGCAAAGCTAGATGAATACATAAGCCATTATTGTGTCTGTAATGTGGATTGTTAAATTATTACATTTTAATTATAAATAATGTATTATGTCTGTGTGACAATTACTTTTCTACATGCATCCAATGTAGTACAGTTTTGCATAACTTAATATGACTAAGTTTATAAATATTGCTTAACAATAAGCCTACCATTTCTCTTGGGTGGATAATATAAGTACAATAAAAGTGCGTGTGGTTAATGCAGACTTGATTCCTTGCAAAAGGTATCCATTTGGTGTTTGAACATCTCAACACCTGTTTTATTGCCAGAAAGGTTAAAACCTATTCTTATTTGTCATACTTTGATACTGGAAAAAACAGGTCCCATGATAAAGCTAAGAGTGGTCATCATATGGAACAAACTCCCGTCTTGGGAATGTAGAATTCCACCACTTAAGCCGGGGGTGGGGAACGTCCGGCCCGCGGGCCGTATAAGGCCCTGTCAAGACAACCGCAGGTGGGACTCGAAATGCAATAAATCTAGGAGCAAACCTGGAAAAGCAGTTGCGAGTAGCAACATCATCAATACCAGCTAACATCATCACACGCCTCGTCAAAGAGAAGCAGTTCCAGCCATCGCATTAGGGGTGAGTTAATTAAATGTTTGACCAAATATAACAAGCTAATTTTTTTAAATTGATAATTTTGTATGGCCCGCGAATGATGTTATAAATATCCAAATGGCCCTTGGCAGAAGAAAGGTTCCCCACCCGTGACTTAAGCAGTAGTGGGCTGCTGGTAGGTACAAAAATATTCGTGGTAGGGGCAGAAGGGGGAATGAGAGTGTAAGAAGGATGGGAAGACAGGGGATATATGTAGTCTTTAACATTTATAACGAGCAGGTAAGTATTTAGAGGTGTTTTTGTTATTTTTTCCACTAAATATTGACGAGCCACCACTGCACTCGGGGTTGCCAGTGGTGATGGCCATCATCCCCATTGCTCATATAATCATAGAGACCACTTGACTTATCACTAAAGTCACAAATTGTTTTCATAGATTGTTTGCAGAACGTAGTAGGATGCATTCAATAGTATCTGATCATCTGTCTATTCTCTATAGTTCTCAAAACTGGCTACGTTCCTGTGTCGGGTCTACCCAGTTTGAGTTTAGATTCTGCAGCTTAATGCCGGTAGCTCATGTTCACGCTCGATTATTATAGCTTCACTTGCCTCCATTATAATGCGTATCTGGGTGAAAAGAGAATGGTGTTTTTCAATAGGGGTAAAGCCCCAGAAAAAACAAAGTCTAACTTGGTCCTTAAAATAGTGCCATTCTATATTCAAAGGATGTGCCCTTTTCAATATGACCACGTTGTGTTTGTTTTTTTGCTTCAACACTCGTAGAAGAAGGTCATATCACTGGCTTCCTTTCTCAACAATACCAGCATTTTGGCCTGAATTAAGGTCATCCTAGGTTTTAAAAATAAAATATTTTATCCGACAGGAATTTCAACAGGTACCCAGCAGCATATTCTTCTCTTTGGTACAAATAACAAAAACTCAACACGTGTGTCGGTTACCTTTCCATGAAGAGGAAAACAAATCCAAAAATAGGTGACGTTTTGGCGAATGACCCTTCTTCATAGCAGAGAGATCACTAATGACCTACCAGTGTTCTACGAAGGTTAGGGTTCTATGTTTGATTAAGGGTTTTAGTTAGTTCAGAACAGGGTCAGAGTTTTGTTTGTGCATTATTTATCATTTAAATGTTTATTTATTGGGATAAACATTCAAAAATGTTTCATTTGAGTAGGTAAAAGGGAGGCTAGACTTGTGTGGCTTTGTGTTGAGACAAAGACGATGCAATTCGAAGGATTGTGAAGGTGTCAATGCAGGATAGAGTGATTGAGGGAGATTGTGGAGAGGGAAAGATGTGGGTAGAATACGGTGAGGAATAGACTTTGGTCGAGTGAGTTTCGAAATTGTAACATGTTGTTCTGTGAAAAAATATATCACGGTGAGGTTATTGATGTGTTTTATAAACCTAATTGCGCACCATGTTACGTGCTGTTGTGGATGATTACATGTAAAAAATAAACATATGTCTCAATGTCACCACATAAAAGCAATACATCTAACGCCACTGGCATCTTACGTTTATACCACCGGGTAACACTTTGCTGATGAGACTCACAAAGTCTAAGCCATTCCAGAATTTGCCTGCTGAAACAAATAGAGTTGGAATCGTGTTATACTTATTTCTGCTTTTACATTTGATAATTGCATAACACTCGATATGTATTCTTGGTCACATGATTCAGTTGGCGGTTGAGTCATGGTCAGTTTGTTACGGTACCGTGAGGTCCATATGGTGCTGAATGTGTTTGTGTCGATTACTCAACCTCCAACTCTGGTGGGTGTAGAAGGGGGGGGGGGGGGACATGGCGTGGGAGGAGAGAGGGGAAACCCCACGTAATCCTACTCTATCCTCCCACTGGTTCCATCTCGTGCCATCAACACCGCGCATTCACGAGTGACCAAGACAACATACAATACCAACACTCGTCATTCGCCACTAAGTGACGCCCACGTCACCACGGCGCATGGGGGCCGTCCATAAATGACGTCACGCACCTAGGGGGGGGTCAGACATTTGTGACGATGTGTGACGAGGGGGGGGGGGAAATGTGACGTCACATCAAAATGCGCAACTTTAAATAAATATAGACAACACGTTCTACTTAATTAAATATACTTTTTAATAAATGTTTTATCCTACAACATCAGAGTGCAGCGCCACATTAAATACGCACTACAATAATAGTTTGAAGCGATTTGAAGCATGTTTTATATATTTTTTGGGGGGGGGGGCAGAGCTTTGTGACGTCATATTTGAGGGGGGGGGTCTGACTTTTTGTGACACAGTGTGACGAGGTGGGGGGGGTCAAAAATTGTCCAAAATCGCGTGACGTCATTTATGGACGGCCCCCTGTGCCAGGCCAGGTGCACTTTGAGGCTATCACGCGAAAGTTGTCGAAGGCTCGCTGCAAACCCCAGGTGCCACGTGGGGGGACCGACTGAGATGACTGGCAGATGCACCGTGCCAAAACGCTGCAATGTATCGTCCCGGTCACTCGAGAGTGGGTGACGTGAGATGGAAAAGAGTGACCAAGAAGAACCAGCAGCATTGCTTCGCAAAGTCACAAATTCCAACACACTTCACACCACCCGCCGGTCCGCTCGGCCAAGCTGGTGAGCAGGAGACATTGCTCCCAGTGACGCCTACAGCCCACGCACGCGTCTGTGTGTGTGTGCGTCTGTCTGTGTGTCTGTGTGTGCGTCTGTGTGTGCTCGTCTGTGTGTCTTTGTGCGTCTGTGTGTCTGTATGTTTGAGTCTGTTTGTCTGTGTGTGTCTCTGTGTGTGTGTGCGTCTGTGTGTGTCTGCGCGCAAGTCACAGCTGGAATCGCATGCGTCAAAGGCGATCTCCACCCCTCTCTCCCGTCGCTGGGCGTGCACAATATATACCAACCACATCGTAGAAGCTAGCCGTCATTTGCATTCTAACCAGAGAGGGACTTTGGCTCGTGTCTAGACGGTGTGCGTGCTCCATAGAGCTCCTACCTGGCTATTTTTCACAAACATAGAGCTATGTTTTGACTACTGCTGCTGCTACTACGCGTGGTTACGTATTGTTATACCCGCGGTGTCATCATCGCACGAGCAGGCTGTAAGGAACTTGAATTCGAGCGTGGGGCGTGTTGACTAAAAATCCTGCCCCATCTGCTGCATCTTGTGTGATGGTGAGTGGAAGTTGTGTCGAGTGGCGCTCTGCGCCGCCAACCTGGCCCCACGAGTTCGAGTCCACCACCTCGGGTCTACCAACGCCGGTGACGAGTGTCTGAACCGGTCCTGGGCCTCCCCTACGTCGACTCAGCCGCAAATGAGTGTCCTGGGTACTGCGGTGTGTGTAAAATCGTCGCCACTAGGGAGACAAAGGCGGCCGGGCGTGGTGCTGGCCACCCACCCACCGCCCTCGTGTACCGTGCCAGCCTTCACAGGTGCCCAGCACTTGCCCCAACAGTCTGTTAAGGCTATACGGGGGGGGGATCTTTATCTTATTGTCTATTTTACAAAAAAAAACCTATAATTGTGTTCGGGCAGTACGGGAGAATCTTTGTTGTTTGACCACATGGGATGATGCTTTGCGTTTTGATTGTGGACGCATGCAGGAGAGTTATTTGCGGTGTGCTGGACGGAGCGTGATCGCAATCGTGCTGTCAGAATTAAAAAGCCAAGTCGGTGGTGGAAGCAGTGAGTGGTAGAAATGGACCGTCAAGTATCGTTGCACGCGTTTGCTAAACTTTCAGTGTTTTGGCTTTGCTCATCGACAATCCGTGTGCACGATGAATGTTTGTCCGGCTCTGCTCTGCGGTGTGTAACTATATTATTAATTTTAATATGAGAACCGACTCCGTATGTAGGGACGCACGTGGTTGCGTATGCTGTCATGCGTACCTGCAGGACTTCTATGCTGTAGCTACCTTGGCTGGTGAATACGTACTGTCGCCATGCAAGTATCTGCACAGTGCCTGTAAGATTCGCAGGACTCTATTCATGTGTAACCTGGACACGTGAAAATAACAGCTGGAGCCGATCCGAGTTGGGAATCAGAATACGTATTTATACAGGACTCCGGTGAGCGACGAAGAAGCTCTTGTTCACAGATGTCCAGTGGTAGTAGTTTGATTCTCCGCCACGGCTAACATCAGTGGCGAGTGACGTCTACAAAAACCGGTTTTGGTTCCTCCCACCCCCATCATTAACCGGCACTGACCAACGTGGTGAAGTATGGTCAAACGATACCCCCCCGTGACCGACAGCGTGGGGAGCCCCTCATCCAGGAGGGTATCAACACAGGGCTGTCAATAATAACAATAGGATTGTCAAACGATAGCCGGTCGGTTACCTGGGTAAATATTTTCGGGATCGATTACCGGTTCCGAACGTGAGTGACTGGAAATCGATTCCAGCGGAACGTCGGCAGTGAACGCGCGGATTCTCGCCCCCCTTCTCGTTTCCACAGTCCAGGCGTCGTACGGGATAGCCCCAGCAATTGCTTGGTTCGACAGGGGTTTGCCTGTGAGGGTCTTTGGTCTCCTCTTCCAGACTCCCTTGAGACTTGGAAGACGTGCACGCACGTGCCCCACATTTGAACTCGCCAATTCACTGCGGCGGCATTAGACGCTGCTGCGTGGACAGAGGCGGATGGGTTGTGGATTTAAATAAACTCCCCCACCCCCCCCATTGTCTTTTAGTGGTGGCGAGATGTTAACTACCTCGCCTGGTGTGCACGCAGTGCGTGGGTGAGATCCCGATCCTGACGCCTGCTGCTGTATATTTGGAGTTTGCAGTGTCTTCCCTGCCCATGGTAACGTGGATTTTTCTCCGGGTCCTCCGCATTTTCCCCTCCACGTTGAGAATGAACGTGCGCGTTTCGAGTACTTTGGATGCTCGACGTTTCCACGCGGCGATAAGCCCCGCTGTTGAGCTATCGTTTGTGGCCAGGTTGCTTCTGAAAGAGAGCGACATCGCTCAGTGGGGCTTACCTGGTAAAATAATTAAGTTTCATAGTTTAGTGCCGTGCCGGGAAATGGAATGGAACCGGCTAGCTCTGGATTACAAGTCCCACGTGATAATCCCATTATTTCAGCACGGCAGCTCTCTTGAATCGCCAGTTATACAATTTAAAATGTGATGTTCATCGCTAGGCTTGTTTTTATATGTGCTGTAAACCCTTTGTACGGGGTTTTTTTTTATGAGGATCCCGATAATAGGAGAAACCCCAAAATTGTAACAACCATATGGATGTTTTTTTTCAAAAGGGAGTTCGGTTGTTATACGCGTGTTGTATATACACTGTGCTAGCGACGGGGGGAGTCTGGTTTATCTTTGTCCACAGCTCAGGAAGCGAGACTTCAAGTAAGGGGCTCTGACACTGAGTGAGGGGGGAGAGATTATGATTCTTCTTGTGTGTGTCTTGTTATTGTGTGTGTGGTGTGTGTGTTATTGTGTGTGTCTTGTTATTGTGTGTGTGGTGTGTGTCTTGTTATTGTGTGTGTGTCTTGTTATTGTGTGTGTGGTGTGTGTGTGTCTTGTTATTGTGTGTGTGGTGTGTGTGTGTTGTTATTGTGTGTGTGGTGTGTGTGTGTCTTGTTATTGTGTGTGGTGTGTCTTGTTATTTTGTGTGTGGTGTGTGTGTGTCTTGTTATTGTGTGTGTGGGGTGTGTGTTGTTATTGTGTGGTGTGTGTGTGTCTTGTTATTGTGTGGTGTGTGTGTTGTTATTGTGTGTGTGTTGTTATTGTGTGTGTGTGGTGTGTGTGTTATTGTGTGTGTGGTGTGTGTGTGTTGTTATTGTGTGTGTGTGGTGTGTGTTGTTATTGTGTGTGTGGTGTGTGTGTGTGTTATTGTGTGTGTGGCGTGTGTGTGTTGTTATTGTGTGTGTGTGGTGTGTGTGTGTGTCTTGTTATTGTGTGGTGTGTGTGTGTCTTGTTATTTTGTGTGTGGTGTGTGTTGTTATTGTGTGTGTGTTGTTATTGTGTGTGGTGTGTCTTGTTATTTTGTGTGGTGTGTGTGTCTTGTTATTGTGTGTGGTGTGTCTTGTTATTTTGTGTGTGGTGTGTGTGTGTATTGTTATTGTGTGTGTGGTGTGTGTGTGTTGTTATTGTGTGTGTGTGGTGTGTGTGTCTTGTTATTGTGTGTGTGGTGTGTGTGTGTGTCTTGTTATTGTGTGTGTGGTGTGTGTGTGTGTTGTCATTGTGTGTGGTGTGTGTGTGTCTTGTTATTGTGTGGTGTGTGTGTCTTGTTATTTTGTGTGTGGTGTGTGTGTATTGTTATTGTGTGTGTGGTGTGTGTGTGTTGTTATTGTGTGTGTGTGGTGTGTGTGTCTTGTTATTGTGTGTGTGGTGTGTGTGTTGTTATTGTGTGTGTGTGGTGTATGTGTGTGTTGTTATTGTGTGTGTGTGGTGTGTGTGTGTGTGTGTTGTTATTATGTGTGTGGTGTGTGTGTGTCTTGTTATTGTGTGTGTGGTGTGTGTGTATTGTTATTGTGTGTGTGTGTATTGTTATTGTGTGTGTGGTGTGTGTGTATTGTTATTGTGTGTGTGGTGTGTATGTGTGTCTTGTTATTGTGTGTGGGGTGTGGGGTGTGTGTATGTCTTGTTATTGCGTGTGGGGTGTGTGTCTATTGTGTGTGTCTTGTTATTGTGTGTGTGTTCAATTTTACTTTTCAAATACTGAGCTATGTGGCCACATCGCCCGGAATGTCCGACCCCTCCTCCCCCTCATCTTGTCACAACTCAGAAATCTGCTTAGCAAGTGCTGGTTGGAATGGTTGAGCCACGTGCCCACACAGGTTGTCATAGGGCTTTGTTGAGGTCTGTGTGGTGGGCAACAAGAGGGCAGTGCGGTTAAATCCACGGTTGTACTGTTCTTCTAAACACGTCTATGCTCCCCCATTTTCATCATCCTGAATTGACCGGCGTGGTGAAGTATGGTCAAATAACCACCCCCTTTTGTGGGGAGGCCCTCATCCAGCAGCGAATTGACAATATTGGTGTACATGTACAGATACTGAGCACTTTACACACAAACAAAACCCATTCATGCGTTCCTTCTCTTATGAGATATGTTACTGTTTTATATTATTAGTCTCATCGATGCATATTTACGAGAATGCCACAGATGTTTTGATAATTGATGTTTTTCATTTAGCATATTTAGAAACAAACATATGCAGGAATGAAAATCAATGCCAATATCTCCGAATAAACTTTTTGCATATCACCTGTGCTCTATAAACGTGGACCCTGGAAAAAGGAGAATTGTAAATAGCAGCTGTGGAGAGGCGCATCCTAGGTGAGACAGGAACACACGCATCAGGGAACAAACGCAAAGCACAAGTGGGCTTGGGCAGGACGCATCGCCACAAGGGTTTATTGTCGATGGTTCGAGGTTTGTGATGGAATGGTAGCCACGAGAGAGAGAGCGTGTGCCTGGGAGAATGACGACGGAGCACAGAGTTGGAGCAGAGAGACCAGCTAATGCAAGAGACACCAGCTAATGCTAATGCGAGAGACCAGCTAATGCGAGAGACCAGCTAATGCGAGAGACCAGCTAATGCGAGAGACACCAGCTAATGCGAGAGACCAGCTAATGCGAGAGACACCAGCTAATGCGAGAGACACCAGCTAATGCGAGAGACTCCAGCTAATGCGAGAGACCAGCTAATGCGAGAGACTCCAGCTAATGCAAGAGACCAGCTAATGCGAGAGACACCAGCTAATGCGAGAGACCAGCTAATGCGAGAGACACCAGCTAATGCTAATGCGGGAGACACCAGCTAATGCGAGAGACACCAGCTAATGCGAGAGACACCAGCTAATGCGAGAGACACCAGCTAATGCTACTGCGAGAGACACCAGCTAATGCGAGAGAGACACCAGCTAATGCGAGAGACACCAGCTAATGCGAGAGACACCAGCTAATGCGAGAGACACCAGCTAATGCTACTGCGAGAGACACCAGCTAATGCGAGAGACACCAGCTAATGCGAGAGACCAGCTAATGCGAGAGACACCAGCTAATGCTAATGCGAGAGACACCAACTAATGCGAGAGACACCAGCTAATGCGAGAGACACCAGCTAATGCTAATGCGAGAGACACCAGCTAATGCGAGAGACACCAGCAAATGCGAGAGACCAGCTAATGCGAGAGACATGCTAATGCGAGAGACACCAGCTAATGCGAGAGACCAGCTAATGCGAGAGAGACCAGCTAATGCTAATGCGAGAGACCAGCTAATGCGAGAGACACCAGCTAATGCTAATGCGAGAGACCAGCTAATGCGAGAGAGACCAGCTAATGCGAGACACCAGCTAATGCGAGAGACCAGCTAATGCGAGAGACACCAGCTAATGCGAGAGACACCAGCTAATGCGAGAGACCAGCTCATGCAGGAGTGACGCAGATTATGGTATCGCGATGGACTGTGAGGGATGGTGACAGGGTGTGGAGGCCTTCATCCAGCAGTGGATATAAAATTCTGCATCTTTATGACTTCTAATGGAATTTACTTTTTAATATTGATTTAATATATATACACCATTACAAGTGGTTAGGAATATGTATCACAGTTTCATTATTTTCGCACACTACTATACCTCCTTGTGTCAGTACATTGTGCTTTCTACTTATCGAAGTTCAACCCAGGTCTCTTGTAAAAAAAAAACAGGCTGTCTCAATGCATCCTTACCAGATTTAAATCAAGGCTAGATCACGCGCGTCACGTTCATGTCATATACACACAATACTGCAAATACAACAGTGAGATTTATTGACCATCTAAATGACTGCATCTCAACAAGCTGTACAGAAACATTGGGTATTTACTGTTACTATTTTAAAGAGAGAGGCAGTCCGTCAAAGGGTAGAGGAAAAAATCAAGGTATTGAGCCTGGCCTTGAACAAAGCATGGAGTCCACAGTGCAGATAGCTGGAGGGGAGCGAGTTCCAGACCATGCAGACAGCATATGAGAAAGAGCATCCTTCCACTCAGCAAAGGTTGGGCTGAGTTGAGGCTTCAACAGGAAGCCTGGGTTTCCGGAGAAAAAGAATGCTGTAGGACACATCAATGTGAACAGTACACAATTGTGAATAATCCAACAAAAATCATTCTTTGTGCATAACGCTCCTTTAGCTGATGTTTTATCTGCAACGTTTGTGCAACAGAATGGAGGTGCCCAGGGGCATCTTGCTGCTGCTCCTGACGTGCAGGCTTTTCGCCACAACCGCAGCCAGCCACCTGGACAAATGTTCCTCGAAGAACGAGCTGTGGTGGACCAGTTTTGCCCCGGCGGGCACGGTGGACCTGCCCACCTTCTCCTCCGCCACGGCCATCCAGCACATAGCGACCGACGGAGACCACCTGTACGTGGGTGCAGTGGGAACGGTGTACGTGCTGGACTCCGACCTGAGGATCGTTCACGAGATCCCCTTCGGCAACGTGACATGCGAGAACCCGGCGGCGCCGGGCCCTCCCCCGGCCGGTGACAACCTCAACCTGGTGACGGTGGTGCACAAGAGCACCGACTACCATTTCTTGCTCACGTGCTGGAGCGCGCAGCGCGGGGTGTGCCTGCTCCACACGCTCGACGAGCTGCCGCCCGCCGGGCCGCCCACGTGCCTCAACGGCGGGGACAGCGACGGGTGCCCCGACTGCTTCGCGAGCGCCGCGACCACACAGGTCGTGGTGAGGGAAGACGGCGGGGCGCATTTCTTTGTGGGCGCCTCCACCGATCCGTCGGCGGCCGACGCCGCCTCGCCCGCGACGCTGTCCGTCAAGCAGCTGTTGGGGAAGGAGGACGGATTTAAGTTCTCGGTGGGGCACCTGCCGTCGCTGACGGTGCTGCCCGAATTCCGCGCCGCCCACCAGATCCGCTACGTGACGTCGTTCGGCAGCGCCGGCTACGTCTACTTCGTGACAGTGCACCCGGGCGCGCGGCACGGAGGGGGCACGCAGACGCGCATCGGGCGGCTCTGCGAGGCCGACCACGGGCTGCAGTCCTACGTGGAGCTGCCGCTCGTCTGCCTGCTCTCGGAAAAGCGCAGGAAGCGCCGCCAGGCCCCCGGCAAAGGTAAAAAAAATGCGTCTCGCAGTGCGGTGGAATATTAGGGTCTATAAAATGACTGCCATAGCTGTCCGATGTGTTTCCAGGCTGCCCCGCGTATTGTTAGGCGCGATGTCCGACGTTTCGTTTCACGCATTGGAAGCTTCTTGAGGAACTGAATATATATACGGTACAACTGTGAACCTACGCAGTCGCGTCAAACGAATACCGCTCTGTGAGCATTCAAAAATGGTTGTCTTGTCGAGAGGCCAGCCCCAACTTGGGAATATGGGATTTCCACCACTGCCGGTGTGAGATGAGTGCAGCCACACGTCTGTTTGAACGTTGAGTCACAATGAACTCTTTAAGTTTCAGGAGCTTTGTGTTATCTGCTTGGCTTTACAAAATAAGTCATCATTGCATATCAGTGAATATGTATTGCACCAAAACAAGGATGTAGACCAGCCGCTAACTGATTGCAACTTTAAAACAGTGGAAAAACGAGTAGGAGGTGGAAGTGTTTTTTTGTTGCACCTCGAAGCACACAGACACGCTTACTGCAATTCAATGCATGAGTCACAGCTGTTATTGCTACGTTCTCATGATGTATTGAGCACACCAGCAACGTTATTCGTACAATAGAATATTTTAGCTGCCACGGTTGGCTGGAGGAGAATGTCTTCGGGGAATGATATCTTATGTCTTGCCGTGTGTCCCAATGCTAAGGCGTGTGTGTGTTTACACTCTGACAAAGTAACGTAAGCTCTGTAATGTTTTGCTAATGTCTACATGCCTTCAGTATCATTGTCAAAATTGCACAGTGTGTATGTGATTTAATAGATTCGATAACAGGTCGTAAAATTTAAAATATCGTAAGACACTTAGAAACCAAACCAAAGGGTATGGGGCAACGTGTATCCTCTTTCCCCACTCATTTCTGTCCTTCATATTCTGTGGTTCACCTCTGTATGAATGTATATTGAACTTCTTTCGCACCGTACGTAGCCAACCGTGCTAATCGGAGGTGCGGGGGAAGGACAACAAACTAAATACAAAAAGCAGCTCCAAAGAAATTAGTTTCCAATCAAGATGATTTAAAAGTGCATAGCTCCATTGGCTTCCTAATATCAGAAGGAGGAAGAGCGTTTCAGACGGCCACAGAAGCACATCTGAAAGCGCGTGATGCGATGACCGTCTTTGTTCGATGGCTCGACAAAAGCCGCCGCTGCGAGGATGACCACCGGAGTTCGCGTGATGGTTTTATGCTCCTTGACGAGATCAGCAATGTGTTGTGGTTTATTTGTGGCACCGTTTTATATGCCTGGGTCTCTATTCAGCATGCATGCCACCTTATTGAAGGGATAAAAAGCACAGGCTCGAAAGTATAATGGTTTTTGTTCAAAATGTTCTGGGTGTCTCATTGACAAATATAATTATTTGGGGTGTCTGGACACCCACGGAACTCGGTCAGATTATGCAGGTCCCCTACTTATAAATACTGCTTTACGGTTGATGGTTGATTTTGTGGGTCCCCTACATATAAATACTGCTTTACGGTCGATGGTTGATTTTGTGGGTCCCCTACATATAAATACTGCTTTACGGTCGATGGTTGATTTTGTGGGTCTCCTACATATAAATACTGCTTTACGGTCGATGGTTGCTTTGCGGGTCTCCTACTTATAAATACTGCTTTACGGTCGATGGTTGATTTTGTGGGTCCCCTACATATAAATACTGCTTTACGGTCGATGGTTGATTTTGTGGGTCCTCTACATATAAATACTGCTTTACGGTCGATGGTTGATTTTGTGGGTCCCCTACATATAAATACTGCTTTACGGTCGATGGTTGATTTTGTGGGTCCCCTACATATAAATACTGCTTTACAGTCGATGGTTGATTTTGTGGGTCCCCTACATATAAATACTGCTTTACGGTCGATGGTTGATTTTGCGGGTCCCCTACATATAAATACTGCTTTACGGTCGATGGTTGATTTTGTGGGTCCCCTACATATAAATACTGCTTTACAGTCGATGGTTGATTTTGTGGGTCCCCTACATATAAATACTGCTTTACGGTCGATGGTTGATTTTGTGGGTCCCCTACATATAAATACTGCTTTACGGTCGATGGTTGATTTTGTGGGTCCCCTACATATAAATACTGCTTTACGGTCGATGGTTGATTTTGTGGGTCCCCTACATATAAATACTGCTTTACGGCGATGGTTGCTTTGCGGATCCCCTACATATAAATACTGCTTTACGGTCGATGGTTGATTTTGTGGGTCCCCTACATATAAATACTGCTTTACGGTCGATGGTTGATTTTGTGGGTCTCCTACATATAAATACTGCTTTACGGTCGATGGTTGCTTTGCGGGTCTCCTACTTATAAATACTGCTTTACGGTCGATGGTTGATTTTGTGGGTCCCCTACATATAAATACTGCTTTACGGTCGATGGTTGATTTTGTGGGTCCTCTACATATAAATACTGCTTTACGGTCGATGGTTGATTTTGTGGGTCCCCTACATATAAATACTGCTTTACGGTCGATGGTTGATTTTGTGGGTCCCCTACATATAAATACTGCTTTACAGTCGATGGTTGATTTTGTGGGTCCCCTACATATAAATACTGCTTTACGGTCGATGGTTGATTTTGCGGGTCCCCTACATATAAATACTGCTTTACGGTCGATGGTTGATTTTGTGGGTCCCCTACATATAAATACTGCTTTACAGTCGATGGTTGATTTTGTGGGTCCCCTACATATAAATACTGCTTTACGGTCGATGGTTGATTTTGTGGGTCCCCTACATATAAATACTGCTTTACGGTCGATGGTTGATTTTGTGGGTCCCCTACATATAAATACTGCTTTACGGTCGATGGTTGATTTTGTGGGTCCCCTACATATAAATACTGCTTTACGGCGATGGTTGCTTTGCGGATCCCCTACATATAAATACTGCTTTACGGTCGATGGTTGATTTTGTGGGTCCCCTACATATAAATACTGCTTTACAGTCGATGGTTGATTTTGTGGGACCCCTACATATAAATACTGCTTTACGGTCGATGGTTGATTTTGTGGGTCCCCTACATGTAAATACTGCTTTACGGTCGATGGTTGATGTTGTGGGTCCCCTACATATAAATACTGCTTTACGGCAATGGTTGCTTTGTGGGTCCCCTACTTATAAATACTGCTTTACGGTCGATGGTTGATTTTGTGGGTCCCCTACATATAAATACTGCTTTATGGTTGATTTTGTGGGTCCCCTACATATAAATACTGCTTTACGGTCGATGGATGAAATGCAATACTGTAAGCACTTATGACAAATCCTGTCGGTAATTTGGCAATTAAAGGCATAGTATTACTTGGTGTATTACTACTAGTTACGTGCAACATTTCAAATAATTGTGTTTATTTTACATGCTTTTATTTAACTCACTCTGTCTGTTGTTGTTGTTGAATCCTCAAATGTTGCAACTCAATTTTAACCCACTTCAACAATGTGGTATCGACTGCAAACTTGGTATACTTATGTCATACTGATGACAATACTATATTCTATCATAAATATATACAGTGGTACCTCGGAGATCGAACTTAATTCGTTCCAAAACCGTGTTCGAACACCGAATTGTTCGAGCACCGAATCAATTTTCCCCATAAGAATGAATGGAAATAGCATTAATTGGTTCCCCACCCAAGGATGCTTCTATTATGGGCCATTTTTACACAAAGCTTACAATATTAAAATACAATACAGTACATAAAAGCATACAAAAAACAAGAAACAGTTATAATTAATAGAATAAATGAACATTGAACTTCACTTTACCTGTAATAAGGAGAGTGGATGGCTTGAGTGGAAGGTGGTGAGGAGGGGAGGAGGAGGTGTCAGTGTTGCTTTGAAGGAGAGTCCCCCTCCATAAACACGTTGGGTAACTGCCCTTCTGGGGTTCTTTCTTTTCTTTGCCTTTTTTCGAGCACTAACTGTGATTCACTTGAGGGCCTTTTTACTAAAAACTGATCAAGAGAGGATTGTTTCTGCCTCCGTTTTAAAATGTTTCTGAAATTACTCAATGCATTATCATTATAAAAATCGCCTGTTCTGCTGGCTACTGCCTTATCTGGATGATATTGGGGGGGGGGGGCAGGATAAAGGACGAGAGCTACGCGTAAACTGGGTCATTCGCCTTTGTCTCGGTCGCCCTGGCGAAGCGTCTAGGCCCAAACAGGTTTTTCCAGTTGTTCGACCTCCGAATTTTTGTTCGATGTCCGGGGCAAAAAATGGTGGAAAATTTTATTCGATCACCGAATTGTTCGAGTTCTGGGGTGTAATCGATCTCCGAGGTACCACTGTATTTTAAACCATCTTTTTTATACGTTTTGTTTCGGCTTGGGTCTAATTGTCCACGCTCAACTGACGTTGGCTGTAAATCACCACGTGTCCCTTACAAACTCGATTTGGTGCTTTCGTGACTGCAGGAATTAATCTTTGTTTTTTTCGGTAATGTCACGTAGAAATAAGAAGAAATAAAATTACATAATATACGACGTTTCGATTGCAACACAAGCAATCAAACTATGTAAAGCAACACAGACGGTCGGTTAAAACACAATTAACGCATGGTATGGTTGAATATACTATTTAAAAGATTGTTAAATTGTAAGTTGAGTGTGAAATTTAAGATAGTGATAGAATACATACCGTGTGTCCCATTGTCTCCGAAACCCAGTCCCTCCATCTCTGGCTATTTAAAGCCCCGGTACAGAGCTGCTTTACCTCTTAACTGTGTGCGTGTCTCCCCCCATAGGTCTCTCTACGGTATGTATTCTATCACTATCTTAAATTTCACACTCAACTTACAATTTAACAATCTTTTAAATAGTATATTCAACCATACCATGCGTTAATTGTGTTTTAACCGACCGTCTGTGTTGCTTTACATAGTTTCAAAATTTTGCTAAACCCTGTTTGATTTAGTGTGATGCTCCGTCTCTCTGTATCCCCTGGTATATCTGTGTTAATTCCCTCTACTTAAGGTCTGTATATATATCTGCGGTTATGTGTTTCCTCTACCTGATGATGATTGCTTGTGTTGCAATCGAAACGTATATTATGTAATTTTATTTCTTCTTATTTCTACGTGACTTTACCGAAAAAAAACAAAGATTAACAGTCCCTTACGTTATGGCAAGCTTCGGGGCCACTTCCTGGAGTCGTGGAGTTTTGCCATTACGAGTACGGTACGAAAAACCCAGTTCTGTTCACAGCGGCCATGCCTCTGCTCACGTCGCCCATCTTTTGTCCCCGGGCAGTATCGGCGCAGGCGCCGGCAGAATCGGTGATATTCACCTCGATGGTGGCAGCGTTCGTTGCTCGCCCGGGCGGCTGGCTCGGCTTGCAGCTCAACGTGGGCGCGGGGGAGGACGTCCTGTTCGGCGCGTTCAGCGAGACCGGCGCGACAGCCCGCTCCGGGATCTGCTCCTTCCCCTTGAAAATGATCAACGAATACATCGGGCACGGGAGGGACGCGTGTGTCAACGAAGAGCGCGACAGGGGCATGCAGTACTTCTTTGGGCCCGGCGAGCGCAAATGTCAAAAGGTGAGCGGCCTGAGCGGCCTGAGCGGCCTGAGCGGCCTGAGCGGCCTGAGCGGCCTGAGCGGCCTGCGTGGGTATTGCACTCGGTGCCTTGGTGGTCATGAGGCGGGAGACGAGACGCTCGAGTTATCGTCGTCGTCATGGTTTCCATTGTCGTTATCATTCTTCATCATCATCGTTATCTTAACCAGCTGTAATAACCATTTCAAGAGTCACATTATATTCTTGGTTCTTTCGGTAAAGTCACGTAGAAGGGAAACAAATAAAATAATAAGAATGTAAAACAATAAAATTATCACGACGTTTCGACTGCAACACAAGCATTCATCATCAGGTGTGAAAACCACGGCAGTTCTTGTGAAAACCACAGCAGTTCTTGTGAAAACCACAGCAGTTCTTGCTGTGGTTTTCACACCTGATGATGATTGCTTGTGTTGCAGTCGAAACGTCGTGATAATTTTATTGTTTTATATTCTTATTATTTGATTGTTTCCCTTACTTTACCGAAAGAACCAAGAATATGAATCTCTGCAGTCCCGAAAGCTTTAAATAAAAAAAGAGTCACATTGTTGTAATTTCCGTCACAGTATATATATTTTTTGTTGTCGAATTTCCCCCAAATATTATGCTTATTTTGCGATAATTTGCATCTCATCGTGAGATGAAGAAGCCATTCACATCTCCTGCACGGCAGTGCGACCCTCCTCCGTGTTAGAGGAACGTCCCACACAAGCAGGGCGACCTCCTGGAGATCCCTTTGAAGCGACGTGGTCCATAGGCTAGAGGACCGCACTTTCACACCCGCTCTGCCATTGGCGTTTGATGTTTCGCTGTATGACCATGACCTTAATCGGCACCAGCAATGAAACATCGGGCACTTGCAGCATGTATCAGATACATTTTTGTACGTGAAGGGAGAAGACTGGTAAAAGTGAAATGTTGAACATTGGTGCATCGCGGTGTGCCGTGTACACTTCACGTGGCCTTAAAGTGCACATAGCCTGGTTTAAGCGCCGTGGTGACGTCATCGCCACTTAGTGGCGAATGGCGGTTGTTGTTGCTGTCAGGATGGTGAACGTGGAATGCAAAATCTGCCTCGTTTGTCCACCACCCTGACCTTTGACATTATTAGTTGAATGCATTTGTGTAATATTCTCCCAAATCTTTTGGCATTCAATTTCGCATTGGCAAGAATGCAATTTTCATTGGCAGTTGAACTAAGAAACGAGTTAATCCGTGTCTTCTATGGCAGGGCTTCTCAAACTCACACTAAGCTGCAGTCCATATGTTTTATTTTCACCAATCTTACGGTGGATCACTCAAATGTTGTGAAACGTCCTTCCCGTGGTCGTCGAGGTGCCCATCCCCTGGCTCGTGGTGGTGATGGCGATGTTGTTGTTGTTGTTACGTCAGCCTCACTGAACTTGCGGTGCCCACGCCTCACAGAACGCAGCCCTCCCTCCCCCGTCACGTGGGACAAACGCCCGACCGGACAAACGCCTCGCGTTCAACCGCCTTAAGCGAGACCTTAACATTAATTTAATGTCCACAGCGCGGTGAGACTGCAATGCTGCGCATCAGAGCTGCTTTTAGCATAATTGTGAGTTTCCCAAATGGCTGTTTACGTTACATATCAAACAAGTGTTGCAGGACCCTCTTGAGAAAAGAGTCTGTGAGACTTGGTGAGACTTTCCCGGATAAATTAAAGGCGTGTTTTTCCTCACTGACAAATATTCAGGCTTGTGTTAGACAGGCCTTGACACACATGTTAGGTGCAATCTGCAGTAGTTATTCTTTTCACTCATTGCTTTATTCCTTCAAGCGAATCGATGTTCAATGCATTGCTGTTCCAGATTTGTAAGGACGTTAGCAATGTGTCTCTTGGCAAAAATTTGTACAATGTCACGACACATCCTTGTTTGGGTGGGGGGGGGAGGTTGTGGCCAGGATGGTGAAATCGCTGTCGGATCAAGACACGGGAAGTATGCCTGCGTGGTGTGTTTTCTGGTTTTACCGTGCATTGTTCGTCACGATGTCTGACGTTTCGCTCCACATGTTGGACCTCCGTGGGGCGAAACGTCGGGCACGGTGCCGAACAATGCGTGGTACGACGGCCCTGCAACTTCACCCTGGTTTCAGGAGGTCCATCCAAAATCTCAGCGGGACACACACCGCAGACAATGTTCAACAAACTTAAAATAAATATTCAACACTAAACGGAATGGGTACCGTCATGAAAATCTGCTCCTTGTGTGTATTAGGAAAGGCTGAAGAAACACCGCCAATGGAGTTAAATATTGTCGCAACATTTTTATGATTTTTTATTACTAGGCTACAACATGTCAGCAAGGGAGGCTAAGCCTTGGGGCAGGGTGGGGCACAGGTCCCCGTAGGCGCCCCCTCGACACGACGGGGCTGCCGTACAACTCGGAAACACGTTGGAGAGAGATATACATACAGCTCGGCCTTGAAAACATACGCAGCAATGCGAGTGGCGTGTGTGGGCAGGATGGTTGTGGTGAGAATCCTGTCTCAGAGGGCCTCTGTGGGGTACATCATAATTTTTTGCCAAATAATCATCTCTGGTTATCCGTGGACTTTTGAGTGTTGTACACTTTCCACATACAGTATTTCAGCGGGGCAGAGCAAGACTTGCTCACAAGTGTGGTCTTGTTTTGATTATTGCCACGTTTGTGTGTGGGTTTTTTTTTGCATTAGAGGCATTTTAGCCTGATCCCCACATGATAATGTGGAATTTCTGCCACTGAAATAGTATTGAAAGTAGAGGTGACTGATAGCAAACGTTTTAAAGAGATATATTATGGACATACACGGCATAGATAACCAGTAAAGGATGTACAGCTCACCTCCTGAACATTTCAACTGGTTTGTCCAGCCGTGACGGCACTTCACGCAAGAGTTATCACGTGTTTATAACGACCACTCCACAAAACTTTCAGCGGTCTCTCATAATTTTGTTTACGATGTGTCTAGAACATAGTGCAGTTTAATCTCGAAGGACCTATCGTTGCACGACCTGCCTTTTTAACAGTTTCTGACCTAATGCCTGACTCAGGGGTGGGGCAGGGCCTGTGGGCATTAGACGGTGTCAACATCGGAAAGAAGAGAGGGGAGCCACTCGCCGTCACTGTGTGGACGGGGCTTGTGACCTGAGTGGACAGGCCTGACGAATGGGAAGTGTACGTGTGCGCGTATTTATGTCGAACTTCTCTCGCACTGCACGTAACCAACCGCGCTAAATGGAGGTGCGTGAGGAAGGACAACAAACAAAACACGCATAAAGCGGTTATAAAGAAAGCCACGTTTTCTAGTCGAACCTTCCAGAAACCTGGTAGCTTTAGAATCAGGCGGGGGGCGGGGGGGGGGGGCACCGCGCCTCAACATTCCATGCTGAGCGAGTGTCTTGCGTCTGTTGTTTTTCTCATGATCCAGAGCGTGGCGCCCGTCAGCCCGTGCGGCTCGAACAACGACTCCCCGCTGGTGCTGGCGTCCGACATGACCCGCTACGACATGTTCCCCAACCTGTTCAAGGACACGGCCGTCACCTCTCTGGCCGTGCACACTCTCGGCAACGACACGGTGGCCAGCGTGGGCACACGCGACGGGCAGCTTGTGCAGGTGCGAGAGTTGGGGGGGGAGGTGGAGTTGGGATAGGCTTCCCAGAACTGGGTAACCCGATTCTTAAAAAATGGTCCACCGGTTCTCGTTGAACGACCCCAGTCATCGTAGCCACTTGCTCGCCAGCTTGGTTCTATGAGCGAAGGACGGAATGAGAGGCCGTGAATGGCTTCGTACTGCGGTCATGACGAGGATATTAGTTTCGGGGTATTAGTAGTAGCGTGGTTGGCGTGGGCCATGTGTGAGAAATTAAATGGCAGCCCCCTGTTCAATATTGCCATTCTTTATAGGCCAGCGATTGGGTTCCCCCAAGTCTGTGGACCCCGGTGCAGTTTCACCGCCTGCACCCTCGCTAACTACCCCGACTGGTTGTGTTGCAGGTATTGATGGATCGCGACCGCGTCTATGAGCCCTACGTGAACATTACGCTGGACAAGGGCAAGGAGGTGTTGCCTGCAGCCATCGTTCTTCCCCGCAGTGGCGTGTTTGTCGTCGCTGGAAACAAGGCGAGTCCTTCCCATCCCTCCTCCAGGTGTTTGGGATTTTGTTAGGCAGTGCAACGCAGTGCCGTCCAGCTGAGCGGCTGGGTGTGGAGGAGCGTAGCCTACGGATTACACGCAACGGCGGTGCACATTATATGCAGAGGTTGAGGCCTGCATCCAGCAGTGGATTGACAAATGGTCGTACATTTGTGTGCAGAGAGTAGCAGTTGCGTAGTGGCTAGTGCACGGCTATCTCTCACCGGTGGCGTTATATCTGAACCGGCCTTGAATCCTCCCCTTCACCGACCAGCGTGTTGAAGTATGGTTGAAGACAAAGGTCCCCTGTATAGCCTGAACAGACTGTTGGGGCAAGTGCTGTTATCGAGTTCCTATGAAAACCGACACGGCACACGAGGGGGTGGGTGGCCAGCACCACGCTCGGCCATCTTTGTCTCACGAGTGGTGATGTTTACACATCGCACCAGGTACTCATTTGAGGCTGAGCTGACCTAGGGGAGAATCAGGACCGGTTCAGATAATCGTCACTGAATCGTACTCGGGTCGCCGGGTTTGTATCGCTTACCACTGGATGACCGCTCGTGGTTAAATAACCACGATGACACATTACAGCGTCTCGCAGCGAATGGCTGCGGATATGCAAATGAGGCGCTATTGTTACTTTCTGGCTAATGCAGCAAAACAAAACGGTTCCAGGGAGAGATAAAAATTACAATAAAAGAAAATAAAAAGAGGATTGATTATTTAATGAAATCATGAGAATTCATCAAATGATCGGTGGGGGGTGAGAATCATCACACGCTAGACACAGGCACACAGCGACTTTCATTCTCATCGCGCGTGTACAGAAGGCTGATGATGTGTTCGTTATTATAATCGACACAATCGAAGTATCGCATTGAGCAGACACGCTTGCAACGGAGCCCCTCGTGGCGTTGAAATTCGGCGCTTGAGCTACGACGCCAGCACACCGTGACCTTTCCCTTCACGTTCGAAATAAAATTAAGGGTTATTGAATTGCGTGCCGCCCTTTGACACGCAATGATGATTTAAAGCATTTTTGGACGACACGGACAATAAATCGGGAGTTACTTCATGATATTACGACGCAAGGGGCAGCGGATGCATGAAGCGGTTACGAGAGAGGGGAGCGATATCGCGCGGTGGACAAGTTTGGAGCGTACTTTTGTGATTTATGTTCTCTACCAGTCCAATGTGGATGTGCGGCGCCTTTAATGGAATGAGACTCTCACAGCACCACCAGCATTTCCCCCCTGCGCGCATCGTGTTTTTCTCGCGAGATGGCTAAGTGTGCGGCGCGGCCTTGGGTAATTCTGCTGCGGAGTGGCGTCAGCCAAAGAAAATGTCTGCGAACCCAAATGTTTCTGGATTGCAGGACGTGTGACTACTTACGGAGCGAACGTTTCAAACTAACGCGCGCAATAACGTGTAAAATGCACTCTGCCCTTGTGCATTGTGCAAAGCCATCATTCTCTGAGAAGCGGTGGATTTCATGAACAAGTACATTGTGGTCCTCTTGTCTGAAGTCACCGTCAGAATATATTGGCACAGATGTGACCGACCTGACAGGCAGCAGTGACACAGAGGATAGACATCTGTAGACCGGTTTTGTACTTGTTAGGACTCATCAGCATGGTGCAGTCACCAATGCTCGCTGCTGCTGCTGCTGCTGCAAAAGTATTCATCTGTGAACCACTTATGTGGAGTCCCCCCCCCCCCTCACTTCCACACAATGGGGCCCATTGGCCTGGCTAATGCCAACAGTAATGACATCTGCAAATGACGATAAAACCTCGTGACAGCGAATGAATGCGCAAAAACTCGACGGGCAACGTCAGGCGGCAGCCGTGTGATTGCTAGCGGAGGCAGCGCGCAAGGGCGGTTGTTGAGAAGCAGCGCAGTGCGTGGTGCCACGCCGTACTGGCTTGTCGGGTTTTTGTGGCGTGCGTCTGTGCGTGTGTCTGTGTGCATGCAGACTGACGGTACAATACAATAGTAGGTACGTCCAACACAATTGCAGGTCCGAGCCCACTTTTTTCATAGGAGACCTTGCTTGAAATAAATAAAGGTTTGCGTGCAACTATTAAAAGCGGTGCGTTACCGTCGCACCGTAAAACCACGAGAGATGGCAATGGCTTGGGAAGGCCATCATCCAGCAGTGGCTAGATCTTGCCTGGCGATGATGACCATAATGGAGGAACACTCTCTCTCTCTGGTTCTGTTAGGCTTTTCGATGGAATCGTTTTTTGTTGTTATAAAAATGTAGCTGCCATCACCCGTGATAAATAACCCCTCCTAACAAAATATTCTGGCATCACCTTGTCCTGCACATCTGTAATCCCTTTTAATTACCGGTCGTTATTTTGATACGGGCTCACAATGGGCGTGCTTTTGTGCAAAGAAGACCAATGTCCTGAGGCAGGTGGTGGTGTAAGATAGTCGTCTTCTGTGAATGATGGTGCGCTTTTTACTTTACCCCCAGGGATAGCCATCATCCTCACAGCATAGATTACCGTTGTAATGAGACACATTACCATCACAATGGAGGGCAATGGCTCTGGAAGCTTTGCGGTCTCGTCCTGTTCTCAGCTCACAGTGTTTACCCTCTGGCTGGTTACCATGCTGGTTTGTCTGTGAATCACAGCATCAACAAGGTGTTTGCTTCTTTTTCTAAAATACTATCCCGGTTGTGTGATGGGCGTCGAAGGGTGTCTTCGGATCTTTTGTACAGCAGCAGCAGCACAACTCTCTTGTGTTTGAGAATGCCCCATGGAAGTAGATACTGCAGAGCTACTACCTCGGAGATGCCTTCACTTGACCTTTGGCCGCAATGCTCAAACGCGTGACGGTCAATCCCATTTATAGAATTGTCACCACAGGAATCTTGCCAAAATTAAGTGCAGAAACACATTTAATGAGTTTTTTTTCTGCAGTCATTTGTGACTGGGCTGATAGACCATCAACTTTCTACACTTGAGAACAGTGGAGGACTGCTAAAATGAAGACACAACCCCAATTTAAATCTTGTAGATGCGTTCCTCGGCTGTTGTATCCCAGGCTGTCTGAAATTAGTTAAAGTCAGAGTTAAACCCGTCATCATGGCACTCGTGATAACACTCTCACATGTTATGAAAAGTTACTGCAGGAATGTCAGTAGAATGCTATTACAGACCACCCAACCATGAAATAAAAGTTATATTTTCAATGATTAACAAAGCTTCAAACTGTTGTTGGGTAGCCCACGACGCAGTAGCAGTGTAGGCGAGTGTCTACAGGATGTGCGCTGCATGTCTTTGTTTTTTAGGTTGCATCTTTGAGTCACATGTGGACCCAGTACCTTTGACCAATGCACCAGGAATGTGCCCAGTCTTAGTAGAGCTAAGAAGCAGGCTTTGGGCCTAGATTTTGTTTGAAGAAGCAACCACCATGAAGAACAGCTTCTTATCGGCTATAGAACTATTTGATGGATTCACAGAGGGCAGTACAGCAACATGACTTGTTGTACTGTGCTTCTATATGCTCCCTTGGCTACGTTTCCCTCCAAACCACGCTGAGCAGAGCGAAGAAGTGGTCAAATAACCTCTGCAACTTACACGAGGTGACGAAGGCCCTCTTCCAGCAGTAGGCTGGCGAAAGGATTGTTCGTGTGTGTACAGTTGACCAAATTAGCAATTGGTAAATATCTGATGGTAGACTTTGTGTTTATTGTCAAGACTCCATTTGGGCAAAAAAAATGTGGCCAGGAAAATAGTTGGTGTGTCCACGATGATGGTGACAAATGAGTCATTGTAACATGATCTCGGCACCAGGGGTGGCAGGATTGGCTGTCACGGTGGCTTTGCTGTGTGACAAAATGACTCATCAACAGAGTGAACCTCTACCAGTAAAATGAGTCTCGGGGCCACCAGAAGTATGATTGTAATCCCTTGTCTTTTTGTGCACGGAAAAATAGACGCTTGATTATCATTTGTTGGAACATGCTTCGCTTGTCCTCCCTCATATTTGCTCCATAAAGAAGCCATTAGCAAGCAATGCAATCCACTGCCACAATTGCATTCGCATTATATCATTTATAGCCTATTTGAACGGTAAGTGCTTTTTTTTTACAATGATAGGACGGCCATTACCCGTGGTTATTTTGACCGCTGTGCATCGCTCTGATTGGCTGCATGATCTGTAAAGCCAACTGTATGTGTTCCGCATTGGTAGCTTGAACCGCCACCTAGCTACACGTTTACAAATTAACGGTAGGTCTATCTGCATCGACCAATTCACGTAAACAACTCAACGTGGCACGTGAAGGGGATAAGACTGGCTGTGATGTGGAAAGCCAAACCAGGACTGGTTCGGTACTGTTGCTCTGGAACGAAGCATTCCAAACTACCTTGGTTATCGACCCCGCCACAGTGAGTCTTCTCAAGTTTACCAAATTGCCTCTGTCTGAATACAAACGAAGTCGCTACACCCTTGTTGACGCACCTGATGCTAACTAAACACATGTGACATGGTGTGGAGGGCACCGATTCAGATTAGGATGGTGACCCTGTCTTTGTGTACGCGTGTTTGGCGTGCGACGTGGGACACTTTTAGCCATCATCAGGCATGCGCTGTGGTGTAGCTCATTTGTATTTTAACGAAGGTAAATTGGTCACCTCGGGACAGACGTACCGCGGTGCCTCACGAGGAGTTCAGTTTGAGGGGGAAATACTGCACTGTCACGCTGGATCTCAATTCCAGGCAGCAGGAGCTAAATCCCGTCGGAGCACTCACACCACCGTTGTTTCAGGTAGACAACTCACGTGAACTTATTGCCCAATATGATGTAAATGGATTACCGTAAGCCCCAGAGCCAACGCGTCTGTGATGCTGCGGGGGCCGCATTGTGTTTGGGGAATTCCCCCCGGGTGCCACGGCTTGATTACTGTGTTTCACTCCCTCCACCCTCCCGCTTCCCTCCCTTCCTCCTCCTCCTCCCCGCTACCCCACCTCAACCTCGTGGGAAGTGCCCCCTGCCTCTGGTTCCAGAAACCAAATTCCACCACCCTCCGCCTCACACACCCCCACAAGAAAATGAACGTACAAAAAAATGTCACAATAAAAAACTGGATATAAATGTAGGCCCACGGTAGTTCGAATGTCGCCCGCATTTCCAATCTGGGGCGCTCTTGATTAAGGTGCGTATATGAACAGGCCTTTGTCAATCCACTGCTGATGAAGGCCTCTGAGCACAATGCAGGTCACGCAGGTTATTTTACCATAACTCACCAAAACTGGTTAGCATAGACGTGGGTACATAGAAGTGCAGTGCAACTATGGAACTTGCTGCCCGCCATGTAGCCTCACAGCCTATTACAACTGTCATACATGTTGACCGCCCATTCAAGCACTGTGCAGGCTCAATCCTACTTGGGTATCTAGGTATGATGATGAGATGGGGAAAATTCCAGGTGATTTGGTCATAGGCTAGATGTTATGATATCATCACTTATTATAATAATACAATGTACCAGCCAGCTGGAGCAGCAGTAGAGTTTAGAGCTCACATTGGAAGCTTGTATTTTTTAATCCTGATCAGCAGTCAACTCAGCCCATCATCATCATCACTGCAGGGTCGATAAAAAGGTTGATCTGTCCAACAACTCACCCCCACCATATGGATGTGGAATGTTCACCACTAGCTCAGTTCTATACACCGGAAACGAGCACTTGCTCATGCTCAATTGAACGGGAAACCTATTTGACATTTTTTGACTTTTGAATGCACGTGGAGTACACTGGGGGGGGGGGTCTTGAGACTTTTTGGCAATATTTTCCGGCCATTTTTCCAAGATAAAACCATTGGCAAAATACACAGCTTGAGTGGTCAAAATTGGGAGAGGTTTATTTTTATTTTGACGTTGACCATGACGATGATGGTGTCTCAAACTGACATGTTATCGTGTGCTGCTGTTAGTTGGCCAACATTTTAATGGACATCCAGTAATGGCATTTTAATTCAATATTACCCACATCCTCTCTAATAGGTGTGCATGGCGCCGATAAGGAAATATATATGTATATCAGATTACACCAATATCCCGGAAAATTCTGACCCATTTTCACGGATACATAGATCTGGTTGGGAGTGACCAAGCTGGTCGGTGATGGTGTGGTTGAAGTGGTAAAAAAGACAATATTAAAATGTGACCCATTTTCACGGATACATAGATCTGGTTGGGAGTGATCAAGCTGGTCGGTGATGGTGTGGTTGAAGTGGTAAAAAAAGACAATATTAAAATGTGACCTCATATTTTTGGTGAAATAATTAAATTCCAACATGGGAGCATTAGACAGTGTTCTCACAGTTTCTTGTGATTGCTTATGAGCGCTTGCATTTATTTAGTACTTAAATACCATGGTACCTCAAAGCTCCGCTCATGCCAGGGCATTGATCATAAATGCACACACACACGCACGAGAACACAAAGACAACGATAGCCCTTATTGGCATTGCAACCTATGAAGGCTGACACGATACACGCAGCAGTCACGTGACCAGGACTACGCCCAGCCGCCTTTGTCTCTCCATTGGCAACGTTTACACACCGCACCAGTCACTCATTTGAGGCTAAATCATCATTGGTGAGGCCCCGGAGCGCTCTCAAATATTCGTCACTGCTGTTGTCTACAAGTGTCTTCCGAGTCACAATCCCATTAACTTGGGTGCGGTTATTTGCCGCGCACCACTCCCAGTCGCTCCTGGGATCTGAACCCCCCGCCGCTCGCCCAGCGCCTTCCACCTCCGGTTACATCGAGCCCATGGGCCGTGGCGACTTCGCGCCTTTTCAAACGCAGGCCGCCGCCGCCGCCGCCGCCGGCCCCCCTCCCGTGCGTGACGCACGCAGGTGACACGGATACCGCCAGAGGGCGTGGGGTGCGCCCACCTGCTGGCGTGCGACGCGTGCATCCTCGCGCCTCGCTTCGCGCACTGCGGCTGGTGCAACACGGGGACGTGCTCGCGGAGCTACGAATGCGCGGGGCGCTGGAGCCTGGACTCCTGCCCGCCGGCCGTCTCCCAGGTGAGAGGGGGTCGCGAGCCTGCGATCGGCGTGGCGACGTGAGGCGGAGATTGCATTCGGAACTGTCGGCGCAGCAGTGCAGCACCCCCTGCATTGGAGGATGGCCTGCGGAAGCAGACGTTGCAGAACTGCTTCTGAGAACCCATCCATGATCTGCTGTCCACACGGTGGGAGGCTGAGAAATCATCGTTCGTCACTTGAGTCAAACTCGTATTTTTAATTCTCAGAGCTTGAATTTAGCAAAATCAAGTGCATGTTCCAATTTATTTTTTATTTAAAATCTGAATATGCACTTAATTTTGCTAAAGTCTATCTCTTGAGAATTTAAAATATGATTTTGACTTAACTCGCTATCAGATATGTGTGTCAGTCCACATCCTGCCCAGGGGTCAACTTTACTCATCATCTGTACATGCAGTTTAGCATTTAGCGTGAAGTCAACAGTCACTGTCTCATGGAGTAACTCGCCCTTGCCATTGGAATGTGTAATATCATCAACCAGCTCGGCGTCGCAAGTGAAGATGGGCATGGCCCGCACTTTTGTAAGCGTGACGATGCTTTGAAATCGGGCGTTCACACACAAACAACGTTTTCAAAGGTGGAATTTTTTGCCCCGCGGGGATTTTTCCCGCAGTTCTTTCCGACGTCAGCGCCGGTGTCAGGAGGCACACGGCTCACGCTGTGCGGGAAGCACCTGCTGGAGATCACGGACTACGTCGCGAGCAGGCGCCAGGAGAAGACCTCCGTCACTGTCGGAGCAGTGGACTGCATCCTCGATCGTCAAAACAGCAACAACACACTGTACGCGAGGGGACACGGAGCCACGACTGAAGACTCACTCGCAGACACGCTCACAAACTTGGTGGCAGACTCAGTGGCAGACTCGTTGGCAAGCTCGGTGGCAGGCTCGCTGGCAGACTCGGTGGCAGGTTCGCTGGCAGACTCGGTGGCAGGCTCGCTGGCAGACTCGGCGGCAGACTCAGTGGCAGGCTCGCTGGCTGGCTCAGTGGCAGACTCGGTGGCAGGTTCGCTGGCAGACTCGGTGGCAGACTCACTCACAGACTCGCTTGCTGATATGCTTGACAAGCGGAGTCGTGGCGCCCTCCTCAACATCGACCGACTCGCCGTAGTTGTCCAAGGGCCTTTCATCAAGGCCCCAGGATTTATTTTGACCTGCCACAGTCACTTGTGTCTGGGTGGACCTGGGAGCCATTTCCAGTAGCTCCAGGTCTTGCGCGACGCAGAAGTTCGAGGGCGGCATGAGGCGGCGTGTCGATGGGCATCGGTCTGACACGTCCAAACTCAGTCGGGCGTCTCGCGGCCATCAGACCGGTTGGTTTTGCGCAGGCCGGTGCACTCCGTGATTCCTTGTTGCCTAACAACGCACAATCATCGACGTGTAGAGGTCCGATGAACTCGCGGTGGCGCTCGGAGAGAAGACGGATTAGTGAGATGAAGCGGAGGCGAACGAGAGGTTGAATTGAGAGAGTTGTGGGATACAGCGCAGGTGACGCTTATTTAAATGAATGTGAGAGGAACAAGAGAGGAAAGGCCTGGATACAAGAGGTACAGATTGGTGGTCACATGCAGTAAGGGAAAAAAGTATTTGATCCCCTGCTGATTTTTTTTGTACATTTGCCTACTGACAAAGAAATGATCAGTCTATAATTTTAATGGTAGGTTTATTTGAACAGTGAGAGACAGAATAACAACAAAAAAATCCAGAAAAACGCATGTCAAAAATATCATGAATTGATTTGCATTTTAATAAGGGAAATAAGTATTTGACCCCTCTGCAAAACAGGACTTAGTACTTGTTGGCAATCACAGAGGTCAGACGTTTCTTGTAGTTGGCCACCAGGTTTGCACACATCTCAAGATGGATTTTATCCCACTCCTCTTTGCAGATCTTTTCCAAGTCATTAAGGTTTCGAGGCTGACGTTTGGCAACTCGAACCTTCAGCTTCCTCCACAGATTTTCTATGGGATTAAGGTCTGGAGACTGGCTAGGCCACTCCAGGACCTTAATGTGCTTCTTCTTGAGCCACTCCTTTGTTGCCTTGGCCGTGTGTTTTGGGTCATTGGCATGCTGGAATACCCATCCACGACCCATTTTAAATGCCCTGGTTGAGGGAAGGAGGTTCTCACCCAAGATTTGACGGTACATGGCCCCGTCCATCGTCCCTTTGATGCGGTGAAGTTGTCCTGTCCCCTTAGCAGAAAAACACCCCCAAAGCATAATGTTTCCACCTCCATGTTTCACGGTGGGGATGGTGTTCTTGGGGTCATAGGCAGCATTCCTCCTTCTCCAAACACCGCGAGTTGAGTTGATGCCAAAGAGCTCCATTTTGGTCTCGTCTGACCACAACACTTTCACCCAGTTGTCCTCTGAATCATTCAGATGTTCATTGGCTAACTTCAGACGGGCATGTATATGTGCTTTCTTGAGCAGGGGGACCTTGCGGGCGCTGCAGGATTTCAGTCCTTCACGGCGTAGTGTGTTACCAATTGTTTTCTTGGTGACTATGGTCCCAGCTGCCTTGAGATCATTGACAAGATCCTCCCGTGTAGTTCTGGGCTGATTCCTGACCGTTCTCATGATCATTGCAACTCCACGAGGTGAGATCTTGCATGGAGCCCGAGGCCGAGGGAGATTGACAGTTCTTTTGTGTTTCTTCGATTTGCGAATAATCGCACCAACTGTTGTCACCTTCTCACCAAGCTGCTTGTCAATGGTCTTGTAGCCCATTCCAGCCTTGTGTAGGTCTACAATCTTGTCCCTGACATCCTTGGAGAGCTCTTTGGTCTTGGCCATGGTGGAGAGTTTGGAATCTGATTGATTGCTTCTGTGGACAGGTGTCTTTTATACAGGTAACAAGCTGAGATTAGGAGCACTCCCTTTAAGAGTGTGCTCCTAAACTCAGCTCGTTACCTGTATAAAAGACAACTGCAGGGAGCCAGAAATCTTTCTGATTGAGAGGGGGTCAAATAGTTATTTCACTCATTAAAATGCAAATCAATTTATAACATTTTTGACATGCGTTTTTCTGGGTTTTTTTGTTGTTATTCTGTCTCTCACTGTTCAAATAAACCTATCATTAAAATTATAGACTGATCATTTCTTTATCAGTGGGCAAACGTACAAAATCAGCAGGGGATCAAATGCTTTTTTCCCTCATGTGATATCATAACACGTGACGTCAAATGGCCCACCAGCAGTTTTGGTACGTGGCCCACTGGAAAATAGAGCCTAATAACAAGTTTAAATGGGAAATATTTGCGTGTGTTATCGTGCATATGTATATACAGATTAATAATTGATTTAGCATTAAGCCACATAATGGTCTGACCCAAATTCTTGACATGAACCCCTCCCACCCCCAACCATTTGACGTAGAAAAACAAAATCACGTTTCGTGTGTACAGTAATTATCGATTCAGCTCGCCCGAAAGTTGAAGGACAATCCTCACGACCAGATTAATTAATCTGTGAAATGCGACGTTTCGCTTGGAGCTGTGGTGAGCACGTGTGTCATTGCCAACAGCCTCGTGTGTGTCCTGGAGCCGACGAGCAGTCGGGAGAAACTCGGCCGCGTCGTGCAAGTGAACGTGACCACCCCCAGCGGGGGCTCCACCCTCGTGGAGGGATTTGAATTTGTGGTGAGTTACCCGGTGCGCTGAGCGCGTGCGTGTGTGTGCTTACGCGCGTGCGTGCGTGTGTGTGCTCGCACGTGCGTGTGTGTATGAAGAATATTTAAACCGGTTCTGGGCCTCTCCTAGGTTGACTCAGCCTTAAACGTGTGTCTGGCCATCCATGATGCTGACCATCCCCTACCCCCTCCCCCATGCGCGGTATCAGCCTTCATTGGTGCTCGCGAATGGCAATTGCCCATACAGTCCGTTAAAAGGCAATACGGGGGACATTTATCTAAGTGTGTGGAGCGCGAGAGTGCGGCGGTTAGCACACTGCGCTACGAACTCGGTCACCCGAGTTCAATTCCCCCTCACAGCTGGAAACTCCCCCGCCAGTGCTGTTGCGGCCACCGCCTTCCAAGTTGTGACCAGCGGCCGTGTGCGTGTCGCTGCGGAGGGACGCAGGTACCAGAGGTGACAAAGATCTCGCCCGCGTTCGGCCCGCTTTCCGGGATGACTCTGCTCACGCTGGAGGGGAAACACCTCTCCGCCGGCTCCGATCGGCAGGTCCGAGTCGGAGACAAGCCCTGCCTCGTTGTCAGGTACGGCCGCGAATTTTTATTGCTAAACAATGTTTTTTTTATCTTACCAGATAAGGGCCACTTGAGCTATGTCGCTCCCTTTCAGAAGCGACCTGGCTACCACAAATGATAGCTCAACGACGTGGCTTATTATCACGTGGAAATATATAGCAGCCTAATACTCTGAACGCGTGTTGATTCTAAAGGTGGAGAGAAAACCCGGAAGACCCGGAGAGAAAAAATCCACACGACCACTGGGAGAGAGACATGCAAACTCCAAATATACAGGCCTCAAAGTCTAGATTTAAAAGTGCATAGCTCCAGTGGCTTACTAATATCTTAAGGAAGAGCGTTCCAAACGGCCGCAGAACCACATCTGAATGCGCGCGATTCTGTGACCATCTTTGTTCGATGGCCAGCCAAAAGCCACTGCTGCGAGGATGACCGGAATTCACGTGATGGTTTATACTCCTTGCCGAGATCAGCAAGGTATTCTGATTCATGTGTGGCAAGCACTGGTGACCCGAGTTCAATTCCTGCTCACGGCCAACACCAGTGACATTTATCTGAACCGGTCATGGTGCCTCCCCTAAGTCGACTCAGCCTCAAATGAGTACCTGGTGCGGTGTGTAAACATCGCCACTGGGGAGACAAACGCGGTCGGGCGTGGTGCTGGCCACCCTCCGTCCCGTGTATCGTGCCAGCCTTGATGGGTGCTCGCTAACAACACCTGCCCCAAAATTACGTTAAGGCTTCACGGGGGAATCTTTGTCTTTGTGCGACAGCTTTACAGAAACGACGATCGTGTGCACTACTCCCAAGCACACCGCGCTGGAAGAACTTCCCGTCTTCTGGAAGATCGATAACTCCATGTCCCCCACCCAAGCGTTCCAATACCGCCCGGACCCCAACATCTCCAGCATCCATCCCAGCAGCAGCTTCATTGGGTGAGAGATTCCTGGTCGAGGAAAAAGGAAAAGGACTCTCTCTCACACGTGACTTGGCTTGACCGCTTAATTATTTTGTTATTTATATTCTGCCCTGCGACTATCCAAGGCAGTCACAATGTATCTTGTGAACATAACCCATCGCAAATACATGTTCTAGTGTAAAGTTATTTTGTTGTTAGATATTTACTGTCGGGAAAGTACATCAAAGGATTGTAGAAAAAAATGTGGCGATAAAAAAGCAGTGCTGATGGCGTCGTTCCGTGTGACGTCATCTCACGACGTCACATATCGTACACCCGTGTGGCATCACATTCTGTACAACCTGGAATGTAACATTATTACAAATTTTTGTTGTCCTTCCCTGGCACCTCCGAGTTTGCTGTCCTCCCACACCTCCGATTAGCACGGTTGCCTATGTACGGTGCGAAAGAAGTTGAACACACACACATGCATAAAGAAATTCATCCAAAGACAAACGTGCGTTGAAATCGCTTGTGCTACATTTTTCTTCCCTCCTTTTTACGAGCGGAAATCCGTTTCCGTCGAATGTTTGTGCCTCCCTCGTGTGCAGCAGCGGGGACTGCCACGTCAACGTGTTCGGCTCAAATCTCGACTCGGTGCTCCACCCCCAGATAGTCATCCAGGAGTCGAGCTCAACGGGGAGCTCCAAGGTAGCTGGAGCCTGCCGGGCGCCACAGTGGGGAGGTGGGCGGGTACCTCGGGGGCCACGGGGACTCTCGATCTGCCATCACCCGCTAAGATTTTCTGGGTTCGAATCGTGGTTTGCAGCCACCCGTCATGAAACCGTGTTCTCTCAAGTGTGGCGAGCTGATTGTCCCAACCTCGTTACCACTGACCTACAGTGAGGGAAAAAAGGATTTGATCCCCTGCTGATTTTGTACGTTTGCCCACTGACAAAGAAATCATCAGTCTATAATTTTAATGGTAGGTTTATTTGAACAGTGAGAGACAGAATAACAACAAAAAAAACCCAGAAAAACGCATGTCAAAAATGTTATAAATTGATTTGCATTTTAATGAGGGAAATAAGTATTTAACCCCCTCTTAATCAGAATGATTTCTGGCTCCCAGGTGTCTTTTATACAGGTAACGAGCTGAGATTAGGAGCACACTCTTAAAGGGAGTGCTCCTAATCTCAGCTTGTTACCTGTATGAAAGGCACCTGTCCACAGAAGCAATCAATTCCAAACTCTCCACCATGGCCAAGACCAAAGAGCTCTCCAAGGATGTCAGGGACAAGATTGTAGACCTACACAAGGCTGGAATGGGTTATAAGACCATTGCCAAGCAGCTTGATGAGAAGGTGACAACAGTTGGTGCGATTATTCGCAAATGGAAGAAACACAAAAGAATTTCAATCTCCCTCAGCCTGGGGCTCCATGCAAGATCTCACCTCGTGGAGTTGCAATGATCATGAGAACGGTGAGGAATCAGCCCAGAACTACACGGGAGGATCTTGTCAAATATCTCAAGGCAGCTGGGACCATAGTCACCAAGAAAACAATTGGTAACACACTACGGCGTGAAGGACTGAAAACCTGCAGCGCCCGCAAGGTCCCCCTGCTCAAGAAAGCACATATACATGCCCGTCTGAAGTTTGCCAGTGAACATCTGAATGATTCAGAGGACAACTGGGTGAAAGTGTTGTGGTCAGATGAGACCAAAATGGAGCTCTTCGGCATCAACTCAACTCGCCGTGTTTGGAGGAGGAGGAATGCTGCCTATGACCCCAAGAACACCATCCCCACCGTCAAACATGGAGGTGGAAACATTATGCTTTGGGGGTGTTTTTCTGCTAAAGGAACAGGACAACTTCACCGCATCAAAGGGACGATGGACGGGGCCATGTAACGTCAAATCTTGGGTGAGAACCTCCTTCCCTCAGCCAGGGCATTGAAAATGGGTCGTGGATGGGTATTCCAACATGATAATGAGCCAAAACACATGGCCAAGGCAACAAAGGAGTGGCTCAAGAAGAAGGACATTAAGGTCCTGGAGTGGCCTAGCCAGTCTCCAGACCTTAATCAGATAGAAACTCTGTGGAGGGAGCTGAAGGTTCGAGTTGCCAAACGTCAGCCTCGAAACCTTAATGACTTGGAGAAGATCTGCAAACCTGGTGGCCAACTACAAGAAACGTCTGACCTCTGTGATTGCCAACAAGGGTTTTGCCACCAAGTACTAAGTCATGTTTTGCAGAGGGGTCAAATACTTATTTCCCTCATTAATGCAAATCAATTTATAACATTTTTGACATGCGTTTTTCTGGATTTTTTTGTTGTTATTCTGTCTCTCACTGTTCAAATAAACCTACCATTAAAATTACAGACTGATCATTTCTTTGTCAGTGGGCAAACGTACAAAATCAGCAGGGGATCAAATACTCTTTTTCCCTCACTGTGTATGTTCTACGTGCTGAGAATTATAAAAGTACACATTATTGGCATATAACAAACTTATTTTTCCAATACGGCATTGGGGGGGGCCTTCCTCCAGAAGGAAATTGACGATGGACTGTACGTTGTTATTTGTATTGATACTAGCTCTGGTATGTGGAACTGGTGGTTTCCTCCGTAGGACTGTGTGGTGATGGAACATGGCTTGGAGATGTTGTGCCTGGCTCCTGAGCCTGCACAGGGCCCAGGCATCGCGCAGCTCACCTTCAAGTTCGACGGAATCAATGTGGGCAGGTTCAGCATGAACTACCTCAAGAAGCCGCCCTTCTTCATGCTGCCCATCGCCAACCCCACCGTGATCACCACCTCCGGCTCCCAGATCAACATCACCGTTATGTGACCCTCGATCTTAGTACTCCGGGTGGCTGGGTGTACGTAGCCTAGAGATCGGCGCTAAACATTAATGGAGTGCATATTCTTAGTTTTTTCGGTAAAGTCACGTTGAAGAGAAACAACAAAATAACAAAATATATATAAAACAATTGTTTTATATATATTTTGTTATTTTGTTGTTTAACAACAAAATAACAAAATATATATAAAACAATTGTTGTTTAACAAAATAACAAAATATATATAAAACAATTGTTTTATATATATTTTGTTATTTTGTTGTTTAAAACAATTGTTTTATATATATTTTGTTATTTTGTTGTTTCTCTTCAACGTGACTTTACCGAAAAAACTAAGAATATGAATTACTGCAGTCACGAAAGCTTTAAATCAAAAATTAATGGAGTGCGTTAATTAATTCCACTCGGTCTTTCATGTATGCTTTATTTCTACTAGTGGTCAAACGGGAACGCGTGTATTCGAGAAGAAACGGGTGAAATATATATGTAGATATCGTTTTGACTGTTAAGAGAAGTATGTGAGCTTGGACAGGACACGTCGACAGCCAACGGTGATGGGCGCTGGATAGAGACGAATTACCGGGTGGCAGCCAAGGGAGGGATCGCACTCAAGCGAATGTTTACCGAGGGGATAGAGCGGTGAATTAGCTCCTGTGCAGGCACTGGGTGGATTGTTACTTCGACGAGTCCTGTCCCTAGTTTTCATACTTTAAGATAATAATAATGATGTACATAATATTTTTGAATACGTTGCGTTATTTCTGCTTTTCATTCGAAACCCAGCGGAAATCTGTCGAGCACTGAACCCAGTATGCTCACGTGCTCCGTCTGCGTGCGTTTGTGTGTGCCTGCTGCACTTGCAGAGCGAGGCGCTTGCAAAGCTGGTGCAGTTGTACCAAGTGACGCTGATGGTGGACAAGTGGAAGTGCGGGGATGTGACCGTGGGCCCCACGTGGGTGTCGTGCAAGATCCCAGGGGAAGCCATGGCTGAGTCAACCAGAGACAGCCTGCCGCTGTCGGTGAGTGATAATTTGAGGATTCGAATTTTATATTTAGCTTAGGCCACGTCATAATTTGGACAAGTTTCTCTCGTGAGACCCTGCACCGGAATTTTACCATTTAGATTCGAGGTTTTGCTTGGGATTTTGTTAAGCATATTCAGGATAAGATCCAGGAAGTCAGATTTAAATCGAAGAATTGATACCTACGTGCTAAATTTATTTGTGATAATTGTTCAACTCACTGGTGAGCTGAAACTCGAATAATTGCTTTGCGTAATGCTTATACACATGATAAGTACATTTGTTTGGCTATGTCAGATGGTAGAGGGTCACACAACACAAATTTTGACCAGATCTTTTACGTAGCCCTATCCAAAATTATATGATGCGGAAATCTACGTGCTAAGTTAAATTACCAACCTCTGGCTCGATACGATCCGTTACTACATTTTATATGGCTCATGGTCACCTGAGGCCTGCCATTTCTAAACAGTCCACAAAAGATATTTATCCATCACTGCAAGCATCTTAGTTGCACTTATCGGATATTTGAGGGAAATATTTTTGACCAAGCAACAATATGTTGCTATCTTTTGCATGCTTCGTCACCTGTTGTCTTACAAGTAGTTCTGTACACACAGGCAATGTATGTCCTGCCAACGGTGTTTGAAAGTCCGATTTGGCCCTCAGTGTGGAAAGGTTCCCCAGCCCTGCCTTAGGTCAAACCGATTGTCATTGTCGCCATCATCATCATCAGATAACATTGTATTTTCATAATTGTTGGCACCCGTTAGGTGTAGATATTCTGGACTGGTCGCGACTTTCCATAGCGGTAGCCGCCAGTGCAGAAATAACGGGCGCTCTGCCATTATATGCACCTAGTCACATGACCTCACTGCCACCATTGCTTTTCTTGCTACAAAAAAGCCATTGTATTTAAATAAAAAAATTTCTGTTATTTTTTTGTCACAGTTAATCACCGTCAATCATTTTTATTTTCATCATCGCCATCAAGGACGGTAAAGTTCTGTTGCGAATTTTTATTGTTGTCATCAAGAACAGTAAAAGCAAGATTAATCGCCGACAGGCAACACAACCAGAAACATGTCTGAGAGGTTATCCGCCGCTAGAATGGAGCAATGATTAAATCAGCTCGTGTGCAAGTGTTGGGTGGATTGTTACACCGATGGACCAAGAGATGATGGCGGGTTTGAGAGGCTTTCATCCAGCAGTGGATTGATCATAGTTGATGATGATGATGATAATAACAATAGTAATGGAAGATAGGAGGTAGGGCGGTCGCGTATCGCCAAAACGATCTTGCGGAGACGCAACGGGGAGGTCGCTCGCTCGCTCGCTCGCTCTCACCCTAGTGCTGTGTTTTGCGTCACGCTCAGGTGAACCTGTGTCAGCTGAAGCGCATCCTAGAGGAGGTGAAGCTGCCACCGCGCCACAACCACACGGTGGGCGTCGTCGTCGGCCTCCTCATGGCCGCCATCGTTATTGCCATCGCCACGTTCGCCGTGCTGCGCGCCCAACGCTTCAGGAAGAAAGGTAGCGGCGGCAGCAATGGCGGCGGCGCCAAACCCCCGGCTTCCACGAACTGGGACGGTGCAGTACGAGGGAGACCTCGTGCGATACGAGGCTTTTGGCTGGCCATCGAACAAAGACGGTCGCCGCATCGTGCACGTTCAGATGCACTTCTGCAGCCGATATTATGACGCAATTGGAGCTATGCACTTTTAAATCACGTTTGTCACGTAAACAAAACGTGCCACTTCATCACTACTTCAGCACACCGGTGTGACTTGAGTATAAACTCACAACATTTACAATTTGAGTACGACGTTTTGCTCGTGATTACAACCAGCTTCATCGGGCGATTATGGCATAATAGTAACTAATTGGCACGTTTTGTTTACGTGGCAAACCTTACTAATTGGCTGTGTCGGATGGTGGCGGGTTTAATGACGCATTTATATTCACGCAATCTAATCCAAAAAATTATATTGGTCGCGATGAATCTCGTTTAACGTGTGAGCTGCTGCGCATCGGGGGCCAAGTCACACGCTCCCCTACGCGATGCCGCTCGGTGACTCCGTCTTTGTCTTTCGTGAAGGAATCGGCCGTACACGCCGCTCTCGTTGACTTTTTCAGGCTCCAACCACGCGGCCGTGAATGGACACCCCAACCTGGAGCTGTTGTCAGAAGATCGGCGAAACAGCCGCGTGGAGATGTCCACCCTACTGCGGCCCAACGCTGACTACAGGGAGCCACTCCTGAGCGGTAAAGTCACGTGGATAGGTTCAAATTAATCAAAAGAAATAAACAAAAAACTACGACGTTTCGATCGCAACACAAGCGGCCTTCATCAGGTGAAGGGACGAGACTGTATTATTTTATTCTCATTCTACATGACTTTACCGAAAGAACCAAAGAAGGTTCAAATTAATCAAAAGAAATAAACAAAAAACTACGACGTTTCGATCGCAACACAAGCGGCCGTCATCAGGCGGAGAGAAAAGGGGGGTAAGCTTCTAAATGCAACTGTTTATAAAACTTTAAAATGGGCATAGCCCAAGTGTCAGAACGGAGTGGGTGGGGCACAAGAGTCTAGGCCAGCAGTGGATTCATCGGAAGCACTTTGTTGTTGCCTTTCGTTTGGTATCCTTCCCCCACACCACCGATTAGCACAGTTGGCCACGTACGGTGCGAAAGAAGTTCAGCATACATACGTTGACCACGTAGTCGCAGAATTTTGCAGATCGTATGTCTTTCTTTTATTTATAAAAATGCTGCTATCGTCTTCATTGTCATGAAATAATGTTTACTTGCAGAGTTCTCGCAGCGATTGGCACCACCTTGTGTCAGAGAATGGTCGCGGAAGATGATGTCATAGAACCACTTCTGGCACTGCTGACAGATCGCTGTAACCACACCGATGGGAAACCTATTAAAGCCCCGCAGAGATGATTACACGTAACGTTTCTGCAAAGCTAAAAAATAAAAATAGTAAAATCATACCTTTTCAAATGTTTAGGGGTCCCCCATAACAAAACTCCTTTTGTGATGCTTATTCATAAACACGCTCTAGTTCTCTGATATCTTCATCCATGAGCCATTCTCAAACACGGGGGCTGCGATGCATTGCTCTGCCACAGTTCCGAGAGGGCATTTTGTCTCGTGACTTGTTATTAAATAGCATAACACCGGGACAAATGCGTACCAATTTATCTGACTGAATAGAATGTGTATTTTAAAATGTATGTTTGCTGTGGCTCCCTGTGGCTCAGAGCATGAACTTGCCGGTGCGCCGTCAGGCTCCGCCGAGTCATGGGGCCCGGTGTTCAGCCCCGGCTACCGGGTAGGGGACAGAGGTGGGGTCGGGGGGGTCAGGCGGATGACCTCGGTGGAGGTGCTGAGGCTCGACCTCCTGAACCCCGCGCTGCTTGACGAGGTGCGGCCCGTGCTCATCCCGGAGTCGGAGCTGAGCGTGCACGGAGATCGCATCATCGGCAAGGGTGAGGAGGAGGTGTTTATTTATACTTGAGGAATCTGATGTCCAGTCGGGGCGGGTCAGAACGTTACAACAGCAAACAATATAAAAACATCATAGGAGTGCAAAGTATAGGAAAGGTAAATAAATCACCTTAAAAAATCTAGAAATAAAACTAAACATATTTTTTTACATTACCAGGTAAAGCCCACAAAAGTTTTTTACTTATTTTTCAGAAGTGACCTTGCCACAAATGATGGCTCAACAAAGTGGCTTATCATGTAAAAATTTATAGCAGTAAAATAATCTGGGTGCATCATGCGAGGAAGAGTGAAGATGTACAAATATTCGGGGGGTTGGTTATGATGGAGAAGTACAATGGAGGGAGAAGAGGAGTGAATGACGGAGCAGAATAAAGGAACAGAGAGGATCGAGAGATGGAAAAAGGCAGGGGAAGGAGGAGAAAGATAGTGACAAATGAGAGAACATGCAGATAGAGGAGAGAGAACGACGAGGTGAGAGCCTGTTGAGACAAAAGTCTCCTCCGAGAGAGACCTGGGGAGAGAGATGGAAAGAGAAGGAAGGATATGGGGAGGGAGAGAGAGAGTGAAATAGATGAAGACAGGAAAGGGGCAAAGGGAAAGAGCGCGCCAAAGGTGTGTGGAGAGGAGAAGAGGAAAAGACAACGTGGAGTGAGGAGCGATGTGAGAAAGAGAGAATTCAAGACCTGGAGAGTGCAAAATAAACAGAATACGAAAATGAAAAAATGTGGATTATTAAAGTAATCGTTATAAATGGAAAATTTACTGAAATTGGTGCTTAGAACTCCATGCTTGGTATATGTGTTTATACATTATATTCGATGGGTTAATTATGAATGAGGTAGATTTTACAACAGAAGAAGATATTGCTTCTGTTCAACTTATCATGATTCGTGACAGCAGTGATAACTCTGCAACTATGACGACACTGTAACGAAGCTGGTTGAAACAACGCCGAAGACAACAACAACAACAATAATCATAAACACACATTTCATGACATTTGACAATAAATCCGAAATGCTTGTTGTTGCAGGTCACTTTGGCTGCGTTTACCATGGCTCTCTGAAAGACTCTAAAAGCAACAAGGAGATCGTTTGTGCCGTGAAGTCCTTGAACAGTGAGTTGCGCGTTAATATTTTATGCACCGATTTCTCCCGTTCTCACAGGGGGCCCCCCCTCAGGGGTCAAACACACACACACAGCCTTATTTTTTTCTTTTGCGCGTTTTCCCCTGCTGCGATGGGCTCTCTCGTCGCTTGCGGAAAGCGTTGGGGTATGAAGCACGTGTTTTTATTATTTATGACAAGGTCAGTGAGAGCCAACGCGCTGGTTCCATACAAAATACCCTCGCTTGGCAGCAATGTAACGGATTAAAGGAGGTGCGCTCGTTCTAAACTTACTCGGCATTCCATTACCATCTACATCTCCTTCCGCGCAATGTGAACCAACGGAGAAGTGCCCCTGTTCAGCTGCATAATGTGTATGTGCGAAAGCTTGTACTGGCAAGCAAATGACTTCGATATTAACAAAACAGAATGGCTATTTGTAATGTAAATTTGGTTAGTTTCCCTTTTAAACCTTAAAATAATCATGTGAAGTGGCCATTAAGGGTTGATTGTAAATTTTAATTTGTTGATTTGCATTAAAACTGATGTTTTTATCTCGGGTCAGTTTTACTGCTTAAGATATTTTACCAATCTCTGGGTCGGCTTTTTTCCAAGTGCGGGAATTCTGGAGTGCTTGTACAAACCCCACACAACAACAACAACAACAACCGCCATTCGCCACTGAGTAGCGGTAACATCGCCACAAAGCTTGTGCACTTTAAGGCCACGTGAAGTGTCGAACGTCCGCTGGCAGGAGTTCACAGGACAGACCCAGCAGGTGCCATGGGTTGACTGACCGAGATGACTGGCTGATGCAAATACCCCACAAACACACACACGCGCGAGTGCGTGCGAATAAAACTCAAATGTTGCACAGAAAGGTCAACCAACCTATTTGCTGCACTGCCATTGACTAGAATACTCGGCTGAAAATTAAGCATCGTCCATTGATTAAAAGTAACGATTACAGTCATGATACCACTAGCAGTACTACAACATGGCACAGTGGATAAAAAAATATTAATTGATTGGACCGATTTGCCACCTTCAAAATAATTATAATTCATTGAATCGCAGCAATTAATTGATTCACAAATAATTGATTGAATCATGAACACTGGCGAAATTGCAAAGCAGGCAGGATGGGACCAAGTGAATCACTACATTCCTACAAGGACAAAGACCCCCCGTTTAGCCTTAACCAACTGTTGGGGCAAGTGCTGTTAGCAAGTAGCACCTATGAAGGCCAGCACGGTACACAGTGGGGTGGGTGGCCAACACCACGTCCTTTATCTCCCCAGTGGCGATGTTTTTACACACTGCACCAAATACTCATTTAAGGCCGAGTCGACCTAGTGGAGGCCCAGGACCGATTCAGATAATCGTCACTGGGTGTTAGCCGTGAGCGGGAATCGAACCCGAGACGCCGGGTTCGTAGCGCAGCGCGCTAAGCGCTACGTTATATTCCAATACGCGCGCGCACTCGCACGTCTCTCCGCTGCCCATCTCTGCGCAGGGATCACTGAGGTGGAGGAGGTGGAGCAGTTCCTGCGAGAGGGCATCATCATGAAGGGCTTCCACCACCACAACGTGCTGTCGCTCCTCGGCATCTGCGTGCCCGCCCACGGTCTGCCTCTCGTCGTGCTGCCCTACATGCAGCACGGGGATCTGTGCCACTTCATCCGCGACGAGGAGCGGGTGAGCCGCCGCGATCGGGCGGCGCGTTGTAGTTTGACCTGCCACCTGTGTGCGTACGTACGCCCCCGTAGCGGCAGCAGCGGCGGCTTTTGGCTGACCATCGAACAAAAGGCGGTCACCGCATCGCGCGCTTTCAGATGCGCTTCTGCACGCCGTCTCGGTCGCTCTTCCACACAATATTGGGCAGCCACTTGAGCTATGCACTTTTAAATCTATATTGAAAACTTTACTTCTTTAGAACTGCTTTTTGTGTTTAGTTTGTTGTCCTTCTCCGGCGCCTACGATGAGCACATTTTGCTACGTAAGGTGAGAAAGAAGTTAAAAGTTCACACATATGAATAAATAATGCTCATTCACATCCCCTTTGTCAGTCGACTGTAATTGGGTTCATTTGACCATACTTCACCACGCTGGTCGGTGTGAGTTTAGTGAAGCCAGAGAGTGCAGACGTTGGGAGCATAAAAGCACGGTGCAGGAATTGCTGTTGCTGCACTGCCCTCAACTGGCCACGACTTAGGACAGGCGTGACGTCATCATTATGTAACACAACCTGTCTGTAACATAACCTGTCTGTGCATGGCATGGCATAGCAGTCGCCTGGAGAATGCCAGGGAAAAGGAGGGAAGGAGCAAGGGAAGGACAGAAAGGAGCAATTAAGTGGGGGTGTTAAGGCACGGAGTTGAAGAGGAAGATTTTGAAGAGAGACTTAAAGCAGAGACAGAGACTCAGTAGAGCTGCCTGGGATGGGAGTTCCGTACAGTGGGGACGTGGTGGCTCACAGAGCAGTCACCAATGGCAACGTCCTCCTCCTCACCTTACCTATACAATGTTATCTTGCCGTGTATTGCTCAGGATGCCCAGGGTTCTTGCTCAAGCCTGATATGAAATTCTTAGCACATTATTCGAAGGCCAAATAGTTAATTTCGAGTTGCTTCATTAAAGGCCAGCGCCCTGACCCCGTAAGGTTAGCGAAGACATTGCCCCTGCCTCAAACATTTGCCAATTTTAACACTCAAGTTGGCCTCTCTACTTTTCTCAAAGTTGTTTTATAGCGTCATTCAGGATAGACCTCCAGTGCACATGAGTTGATTTAATCGCTCCATCTCCGCGGAAGACTTCCTCTCAATGCATTCCCCCCCCGTTTGGCTACTACTCCATCGTTGGTCTGAACCATCATCGCTTTCTTGCCGTGTGTCTTGCCAAAGCACACTTTTCTTAGCGATTTTAATGATGTCATTCACCCTGCGTACATTCTACAACCCTCTCTTTGCCTCTCAATTTAAGTACAAGCGTACGCCTCTTCACACTTTTTTGTGCACTTTTCAGCTTTTGTTCCATCGTATTTGGCAATGTCCATGCTTTGATCCACATCATAGCAGGTGAGATGCAGCGATTTCCATCTCTCCTGTTCCGGCACATGGTGTGTTGCTTTTCATTCATCGTGCTGGATTGTGAATGAATCAAGTTACTCTTTTGCCACGTTGCTTTTCCAGAATCCCACGGTCAAGGACCTCATAGGATTTGGTCTCCAGGTGGCCAAAGGCATGGAATACCTGGCACTCAAGAAATTCGTGCACAGAGACCTCGCTGCACGGAACTGCATGTGAGTTGGACACACACAGACACGAGAAACAATTTACAGAGGGAACAAGGTGATAGAGAGAAAAAATATATCAAACTTAGAGATGTAATGCAACTCAGAGAGTCGGCCAACACAACAGTTAACACTTTACCCGGTTGATCGACGTCCTTCCAAAGATTGCTAAATTTTGCATCCACCTTATCTTATCACCTTTGTCCCTCTGTAAATTTCACCCCCACCCTCTCGCCCGTTACGGCAGCCCCTCCCCTCCCTCCCCTCCCTCCCCCCCCTCGGATTAGCTGAGGTATGCTAACTCTGCGATCTTACATATACTTGCAAATTCCATCCCTAGCACCACCCGCTTACCCTTGGGTTGTACCCACCACAATAACCTCTGGTTGCAATAGCTCTCTCGCTACATTTCCTCCTGCATCAGCAGTCCGCCTGCTGTATTGTTTCACCTGAAGACGATGGCTTGTGTTGCTATCGAAACGTCGTGATCTATTAGTTATTTTTCTGTCTACGTGACTTTACCGAAAGAACCAAAAAGTACGTAAAGTAACGTTGAACTTTAGGCTGAACTTGCGCCAATGAGAAAACGATCAACCTCTGTGCCATAATCTTTAAAAAAATACTCTATAGTTATAAGCAAAGACTCGACTATATGTACTTGTGCCATTCAGCTCACTAGACATAGCATTAGGATTTATATCACTAACTCGGTCACAACGGTATGTTCAGTACATACTGGTCTATCAATGGCTTATTACATTTTGAATCTGAATAATGATGACTAAATGTAGCCGGTCACTGTGTTGCATCGGCCTCTCCCATGGACAGTTAGAAGTTTAAAACAACAATGTATTATTACAAAAACAATTTCATTGTAATAAACGATTACACACAAGTCTACGCTACACATATATCGTGAGTGTAAGGATTATTTTTTTGTTGCGAAATCGATAGATCATAAAATTGCAATTATCAATATGTAGTGTTGTTTGTTAATAAATGCACTCCAATTTCCTTGTTGCTGCATTCCAATGACCATATCAACTAAAGTAGAGCCACATATATTTTGATGAATTGAAAAACCAGGCATGGAGTTTTTGTCATGTCAAACTGGAGCCTGGAGCCACTCCTATGCAGAGCCATTCCACTTTTTGCGATCCAGTGGTGTAGAAATTGAGTGCGCAGGTACCACACCTGCCACTGGGGCTTCTGGGCCGGTGTGGCCCCAAGTGCTTGGCTATGAAGACAGAGGGGGACATTGGACAGGGGGTGGCCCCTTTCCATTCCTTGCACTGTGCAGAGCCCACGACCGATGTTGCACCACAGCTGACGTCATCACCCACACGTTTGGGGATTTGTGTGCAGGCTGGATGAGACGTTCACGGTGAAAGTGGCGGACTTTGGGCTGGCGAGGGACGTGGTGGACAAGGAATACTACAGCGTGACGGCGCACCGTGGCGCCAAGCTGCCCGTCAAGTGGATGGCGCCCGAGAGCCTGCAGACTCAAAAGTTCACCACCAAGTCCGATGTGGCAAGTCCCCCCATACCCCCCTGCGTGCCCCACGATGGTGCAGCTGGCAGTGCGTGTTGGTGAAGGAAAGGTAGCGTAGACGTGGAAGCATAGGAGCATGCTACAGCAATGGATTTTGCTGTGCTGCCCCTCTTTCCCACATCGTAGCCCCACGCAGATACCTACTTACTTTTCCATCCCGACCAAAACGTAAGGGAATTTTTAGCACACTTATTGACATTTTTTTTCTAAGTTGGCAGCTACTTAATGTAACAGTGGCCAGAAGTACATCGAGGATGTGTCGGATGTCTGCGGGGACCAACGCTTGTTCCCGTACCCTGCCTCCCACCCCACATTTCCCGCCTGCAGTGGTCGTTTGGCGTGCTGGTTTGGGAGCTACTGACGAGGGGGGCCTTCCCCTACTCCGACGTGGACCCCTTCGACCTCACGCCCTACCTGCTGAAGGGCCACCGCTTGCTGCAGCCCGAGTACTGCCCCGATGACTTGTGAGTCCAGCCCCAGGCTCGCGCTGCCCTGCCTCTTGTGCTGCTTCTGCATTGCGTGTTGTATGTTTCTGAACTTCTTTCGCACTGTACGTCACCAACCGTGCTAATCGGAGGTGCGGGAAACTATCCTTAAATAGCCTTCGTTGTGCTGCTCTCTTAAGCTACCTTGCTTTGTCCTCTCTGGCCTAATAATTCCCTGCTTTCTACTGCCCTGTTTGGAATTTCCCTACCTCATTTGTTGCCATCATACCCAACTAAATGCATAGTTGTTCCACTTTTTTAAGTAAGTGCTTTAAATAACACCAATGATGTTAAATAGTCCCTAATTTTCCAAGGAAGGCCTCACTGTGCCTTAAATATCTATTTTACAGGGGTCTTGCATTCGGACATTTGGGCAATTGCATATTTAATATATATTTTTATGTGAGAGGAAAACTGTCTGGAGATTATCCAACGCACGGAGGGAGATGACGCTGACAATTCTCTTTGTCTCTCTCCCCGTCTGTGCCGTTAGGTATCAACTGATGCTGGAGTGCTGGAGCCACAAGCCAGAGATGCGGCCCACGTTCACGTCGCTCATCTCCGAGCTGACTTCCACGCTCGACGTGCTCGAAGGAGACCACTACATCAACCTCAACGTCACCTACATCAACCTGGACGCCCCGTACGCCTACCGCAGCGCTCTGCCGGCCCTCGACTCTCCCCGGGAGCTCTACAACACGCCGAGTGTTCCTCCCTGTCCGCCTGATGACAAGGACAGTGCTGCTGTGAATGGCAGCACTGCTGTGGCAGATATTACAGGGGATCGGCCGAACTCGGTCGTCGCCTAAAGCATGGACTGCAAGAGCCGTAATGTCCCCCGGTACAGGCCCCAGCTCTCAAGAGGGACCTCATCAGCAGCAACAGCAGTAGCAACGAGAGTTTTCCTAAGCTGGCCACGATGAACCGAAAGCCTGCGCATAGGCTTAACCTAATGAGTTGTCTAACCACGACCCAATTGCTGCCAATAGCGGACAGATGCCTCGAGTGCCCGTTCTGAGCTCTGCAAAAACACTCGGATAGCTGCCTGTGAGTCCATGGTGTGTGAAAGAGAGAAATCTAACTCATTTGGTACGGGTTGGAGGCCCTGTGTTAGGGTGGAGATGCCTGAACAATTGTCGCAACCGCACAAGATGCAGTGAGTGGCGACGGTAACAAGAGACTGATGTCAGTAGAGGCCGCACTCGCTGTCCTAGGGACTAGAGAGGAGAGCCGCAGCACCTCTTTATTCATAACGGCCAGCTCAGCCTTTGGCTTGAAACGATGTTTGAGCAGCGGAGGCCCTCAGGGACCACATTTTAGTTTTCCTCGTGACAAAAAATCGACACTGAGAAGTCTGATGTCGCCGTGCTGCACGGCCGGACTGAGAGCCGTGAACAAAAGTTCAGCACGAAGAGACGGAGATGGTCACTTCGTGTTTAGAGACTGACAACTGTGGTGTGCGTGATTATTTGTCAACTGAATATGATAAGTTCATTTACAGGGTAATTCGATTCTATAACGTGTTATCCCCCGTGAGCGGAGCAGAGTAATGTTTTATTGAATGTGAATATTCCAGTGGTAACTGTGTTCGTGTATTTTTCACTGATGTAGTGAATTATATATGATGTATATATTTTGATTTAAAGCTTTCGTGACTGCAGGGATTCATATTCTTGGTTCTTCCGGTAAAGTCACGTAGAAGGGAAACAATAAAATAATACAAATATAAAACAACACAATTCTCACGACGTTTCGACTGCAACACAAGCAATCATCAACGTTAAGAAATAACCGCCACTTTTTTCAAATTTTTCTTGCTGTGGTTTTCACACCTGATGATGATTGCTTGTGTTGCAGTCGAAACGTCGTGATAATTTTATTGTTTAATATTTTTATTATTTTATTGTTTCCCTTCTATGTGACTTTACTGAAAGAACCAAGAATATGATGTATATATGTTGGAGAACACAAAAAAACACATTTGCTGATTACTCTTTATAGCTTATGGGCCACGTAGCAATTTATTTCCATTACAACTGTACTGATAACTATTGTTGATCTGGGAAGCAGGGCATGTGGTGTTAGATGAACAAACATTAGTTTGTTTTTTGGTCAGGTGTCTGTTCTCTACAAGCATTTTACTCAATAGCAATGCATCTTTTATGTACCCACCCACGCCTCAATCTCAAGACCTAGGAGGGTCCTCCTGTCTTGGGAAGTTTGGGCCAATGCCATGTGCTTGGCACGTGCAAGAAAACCAGTGTGCCCAGGGAAAACCCATAACCTTGGAATAACACTCAAAGCTCCACAGATAGATTCAAGAATCCATTTGTGTACCGCCGCTGCCTCCTGGCCACCTCGCAGCCTAAGTCTACAGCACCAGGTATTAACAGGACTCTTCCATTCAAGTTCTGACCAGGCTCAACCTTGCTAAGCTTCTAAGATCTTGCGGCAAGTTGCCAAAAATTATTTGGATTGCTGAAAACATTGTTGAAACAACACAAGGCTGGGAGGAGGCTTTGCCGGATCATGGTGAGCTCACGTACACGAGACACTCGCATGCAAAGGCAGTGACAGCTCTGCAGGAGGCTGCACATCACTGAGGATGCTACTGATCTATTTGTAAAAAGTCTGAGCATTATTTCCCCAAATGCATGGTGTTTTTGTAATGCAAACATTTTGGTTTGCACATAACAAAACTAATTTACCAAACATCCATAGCCAGGGAACCCTCCAGGCATGATACTTGGTATGGTTCGCCTGGAGCGAGATTTATTATCGTTATAATCACAGCTCACAGAGTGGAAGCGTTTTGAAAGGATCAGGTGTGGACCAGAGAACTGGTGGTTAATGGTGATTATTTCTGAAAGCGGTTCTCTTTTCAGACACGGTTCTGAATTGGATTTAAACTCGCAATGCATCACAAATTCTGCTCTGTGAGCATATGCTTTTGCCTTCCACAGAATTGGCTGTGGGGGGGGACCTCTTATTTGATGATTACAGTCATATAAAACCAATCTCGTCTTACCTCTTTCGCACATCTGTCGTGTCGGGTTTTTTTTACTCTACAGCGAGATCACTGCTGAATGCGAATGGCATCTCTCATTCCGATCCAAGAGAGGAATCAATTATACAACCACTAAAGAATACAGTATTATTTTCATTGGTCACAATGATTGTGACGATAGGTGAACAAATTATATATTTTTGTAAGTGCAGTAATACAAACCACACAATTAAACACTGATGTTTGTGTTTTTTGTACATGAGGATTTTAACACATTAAATTCTGTTTAATATTAATCCAACAGTCTCACTGTATCTGTGAAGTACAACCAATTTGCACTGGAATTTAATTCTGTATGATATATACTGTTCCATATTGAAAAGATAATTTTATTTACTTACATGGTAGAGGGAGCATGCCAAAGTTCAAGTGAATCTCAGAAAGCATGACGATACGACTGGTTTTATACTTTACTTAACGCTTATCTGGACTTATTTAATGAATTGTCTTCACTGTTAAATGTCGGGTATTCAGAAGTCCACAATGTACGGTCATGTTGACCCTGGAAGATTAAAAATCAATTCCTACACTCGCAGTACATGCGTTGCATTGTGCATATTCTGTTTATACAGCTTGTATACAGGGGGTAGCGGTAGTGCAGTGGTTAGACACCACACTGTTGCCGAGTTTAACGGTTAGCCACGTACGGCGCTAAAGAAGTTCAACATACTGTACATCCCATTGACGTGTGAATAGTTCGTACTTATCCAAATGGCATACTTTAAATTCAACGTATGTTCCTTGGTAAATACTTCATATGATCAAGGGATTTATTGTATAATTATAAAAAGCTGCTCACGGTAGAGACTTTAACCACCGAGAACCACACGCAATGAAGTTAGGTGTTAATGAAGAAGATACATTAACTTGCTTAGTAAGTATTCAATGTGCAAGAGAAATATAAAGACCCTCGTCTGATCAATTCAAATCACTGATATAAATGCTTATTGAGATTTACCTTTAAATATTACACTTTGTTGAAGTGTACAGTTGATAAGTTATCAGTAAAAATTTAAACCAAAAAAGCCATTGTTACCATAAACTCAAAATCAATGAAAACTAAACTGAGCTCTCCATTGTCAGTCCCAAGCCAGTGGTTAAAATTCCACATTTTCATGGCAGGGTAAGTCTGTCCGCACAGTACGTGAACCACCATAGACTCTCAAAAAATGTGTCTGTTGAATATAAAACTTCAAAAACCCCACATCTTTCAAACCTTTTTTGATAGCTTTCTGCTGCTTGATGCAGTAGCTAAAATGCATAAAATGTGTCCAAATTCCATTTAAAATACAATATATTTTTAATGTGCAATGACAGAAACATAAAATCCACCATGAAATTGTCACCAATTCCCACAAAATACTGACTATTGAAGACAGGCACATTGAGTTGGTTTAAATAATGCTGCATTCTACAAATACAGTGGCAGCTCATCGTTTTGATTTAAACCGTCCATGTGTACGGAATTTTCATGAGTTCCTGTAAATGTGTACCGTGGGTGTTTTATAATTGAAACATGTCTCAGTCGAAAAATCACTGTTGACAGTTCTGCGATGTAACAGGTCTGGGCTGAAAGTTTACCCATTTTGCTGAAACGTAAAAATTTAGTATGCATTTAGGCCAAGTGGCACGCAGCGTATCTTTATTTAATGTCCATTGATGTAAATACCGTTCATTTACAAGTAATCGATTAAAATACAGCACAGGTAGACATGCAGTAAACGGTAAAGGCTTAGCCCTGCAAATTGCTTACGCCACTGCTGGCAAAAAGGCCTCCAGTACAGGGAGCTCTGGACAGCCACTCCAGAGATTATTTTTTGACCACCTCTTCTAAACTGGCCAGACATCTTGAATGGAAGTACATACCCACATTTTACCCAACCGCACGTGACCTGCAGATTGACTAACTGCACACGGTACATGCAGCACGGAGTCGATATTTTTAGGTGTGCGGGGGCCTTACCTCCCAATTAAGTGGCTTAAAAACTTGGTTGGTGGATGACAGAAATAGAGCCATCTTGTAAGGCATATCCCTTGCAAAGCAGAAAGGTGACTATAGGAGGCAGTACAGCAAGTAGGCTAGACTTGCTGTACTGCTTCCTTGTTTGTACACATGGGCTTTTCTCCATCTTGCTCCCACGTGCAAAAGCAGCATTTCCCATATGCAAGGACTACATTCCATGCCATGCTGTATATATATAAAAGGTAAATATATAAAAGGGAAATTTGTGAATGTGTCTGTTCAAAATGTTTGGCGTACTTCCCGACATGCAACAAACTTGAAATTTGCCATGTGGGTACTTTCCAGACTGTACATCATGAAAAAATAATAATAATAAAATCACTTTTGTATATATTTTGGGGGGGGGGAGGGGCGCAATAATGCATATATTTACCACGGCAAGTGAGCTGTGACGTCACATCTGTCATCTGACCCGTATGCGGAAGCGTAACGGAGTGTGCCTGCTGATGTCACCCCCCCCCAACCCTCCGCGAGTAAAGTCAAATTCAAATGTGTTACAGGTCTAAGGCGTTCTTCGCGCAGCAGTGCTTTATTATTTGAGTCGTTTACTGCCGTACGCACCCTGAAAGTTGTGTGTCTGCAGCAAGCGCGTGTATGTGTACGTATGGACGCGCGCACGTATGGACGCGCGCACGTGTGTGTGTGTGGGGGGAGCGGTAGTGTAGTGGTTAGCGCGCTGCGCTACGAACCCGGCGACTCAGCCTCAAACGAGTAACTGGTTTGGTGTGTGAACATCGCCACTGGGGAGACAAAGGCGGCCGGGCATGGTGAATCCAAGTCCCGGGCGAAGCCGGGTAGTAAAGCTAGTACAGTATATAAAACAATCTTTAAATTTAGTGAGGCTTTCCTCTAAATAAGCACCACGCAATGCAATAACTACATCCAGGATTGGACTTTGCGCGCTCATTACTGACTGGTCCTTTTGACTTTTTTTGACTTGCTGAACTCATGCGTCACCTTCGCTATCGTGACCCAACCAACATATGCTGGTGTGTAATGGCCTTGTGAGCCATAAGCCATTGCACTCAACCCCTAGTTCACTGGTGCCAATCATTCCCCATGAAAGCATTAGCCACCGCAGCACTCTTTATTGTTAGACAATGCCAGCGATTGTGCACGCCACCGCAATTTGCTCTGCGGAGAGATCTGCACGGTGTTGAAGGAAATCTGGGGCTGCGTGAATGTCTTAACAATCAGTCATGCACTCGGATGGTGAGCCATGCACAATTAGTGGCCCTTGTAATGGACCGAAAGCCCTCCCTCGCCCCCACTGCTCAAGTGTCCCTTGTGCTGGCAATTGTCGTTTCGTAGTTGTTCTAAATTTGCCTTTTGTCCCTGCAGAGAACGCACATAAATACAATACACGAGAGCGACGATAAATACATTCAGAAAGTCATGATGACACATCCTATAAACCAGCTGGATTGTAATTGTTAGTGCCATGCTTTAAATATATTTTTATTCTTCAACGCCGATTTTAGATTCGTAAAATGATACGGAACTATATACTGCAATTAATGATTTTTTTTTATTAATGAAACACCCCATCCTTGAGAGTTCGACCCTAGGAAACAATGATGAAACGTCCCGCTGAAGGGAAGCCATTCTGTACAAAACAAAGGTCCGGATTTCCTGGATCTGGAGTTTCACGTAC